AGTGTGCAACTCCCACATACCCTGCTGTCCCGACAGAATTTCAAGTTGACGTCATTATTAATGACGCAATACTCCTTGCACCAGTGATTTACAACATGTGTACGGGCGTCAACGCATCACATGTTTTTTCTTTGCAATAATTTGTACAGGATCGATCGGCTTCGGTCAACCACAGGTTCCGGATTCGTCTGATAATCCGTGTACAGTGCATCAAAGACGTCAACTTGAAATTCTGTCGGGACAGCACCCATAGTGGAGTTGCACACTCTGGGGGGTTATGTACTCTTGGTCAAACACCTTGCCCCCCCCCCCCCCCCGATGTTCAATACCACTTTGGTCCGCATGTTCAATAGACATCAATGGCTCAAACACCGGGCTCGGCATGTACAACAGACAGCAACAAAAACACGATGGATGGAACGAGACGAGACCATTCTAGGAGCTGAATAAGTACTAAGTACTTAGTAACTGCATACAAGTACGTGGAATAGAAACATGGACTGGATGGACGGACTAAACAAGCAGCCAATCCAGCAGGCCAGCTGACTAACGTGTTGAATGACTCACACCAAAAGAATGCTTGCTAGAACCCTAAAACCACAACAAAAATACCTGATAGACTCGGTTGTAGAGCAAAGACAAAAATTAAAAAATTTAAAGCACACAAAAGCACACAAAACAGCATCAGACTATCATGGATTCATTGGTGATATCTGAAACGTGGGGTGGTGATCTAGTCAACAACTATGTGAAGTCATTCAAATCTTCCTAACACTCTGCCGCTCGAAAAAGGTTTGGCGTCATGCAATCGGTATTTTTGTACTCAACCCTACGGATGAAAGTTACCGTCTCTTCGCCGTTGGTTCGGATAATAATGTGGATTGATTTCTGCAGTGAGAAGACAACTCAAGTACCATTACTATATGTATTCACACACTGCACACGGCCTAGGCATGCAAAGGGCAACACAACAGAAACTATCACACACACACACACACACACACACGGCTAGGTGACCACAACAAAAGTTATCGCACACGGCTGGGTGACCACAAGACAAACTACTACCACGGCTGGATAATCGAATACAGCTGATGGCGAGTTCTCACCATTGCTAGAGCGTCGACTCGGTGATACTGCTGACGTCGTCGGAAAGCCAAGCCACGGAAACCCGTCACGTCCACGTGTGAGTCCAATAGCTGCCAAGACGACGCTCAGCGCATGCCAGGAACTGACGCCGCGCCGTGCAGTAGCCCTCGTCCTGTTTCTTAGCCTCACCGTACGTCAAGTCAGACGCAGGGCTACTACTGCCCACAAGATCACAGCGCGCAAGCTCATAGTGCAGACGGCAGTGCAGCATGAAGAACGCCTGTCGGCTGAGGCGCAGGCTCGGAACCCCATCCAGCGTCCGCCGGGTCTCCAGGTCAATGCACTCGGTATCCGTGCCGACGGGGTTACCGGGAAACCAGTTGAACGAGAGCGAGCAGTTGCGCGAGATGTTTCGCTGCGCCGTCTGGCTGATGTGCAATACGCATTGTGGGACGACGGGAGAGTACGGCGACGGAACCTGAAGCTGGGCCAGGCGCCGCTCCAGCGATACGGTGGACGGGTCGCGGGTGACGCTGGTTGCCGTGACGATGGAGGTGAAGCGTACGGGCTGGATGGTGCGAGCCAGCAGGGCGCCCTGTACGCCCAGCGTCTGCCAGCGCATCATCTTGTCCCAGCAGGACATGGAGCGCTTGGCTGGCTGGTCTTTCGGACGCTGCTGCTGGTAGTGCCGATGTGGTAGCTTATCGAGGCTTGGCATGGTTCCCACTGTGTTTATGCCCTGGAGTTACACATGGACACACAGCCACAATACACATTTCTAAGAACCTGAACTGTGTTTATGCGCTGGAGCTACGCATGGACAAATGGACACAATAAATTTTTCCAAGAACCTGCACCGCGCTTAGGGGCCGTCCGTAAATATCGAACGTTTTTCACCAAACGAATTATTTTAGTTTAGACCCAACCCCTCCCTCCCTCCCCCTCAGAACGTAACAAAAGTCTGACATATGCATGCACAATACAACAAAAGTTGCAAGTGTGTAACTGCTCCTATGGGCATGCACATGTATCAATGTTTTCTGAAACGAAATTGGTCAACCCCCTCCCACCCCATAACGAAATTATTTCGTTTTGTGAAAAAAGTTCGATAATTATGGACGACCCCTTATGCCCTGCGGTTACATGTGGACACACAGACCACAAAAAAAAACCTGTCTACAATCTTGCACACACCACTGCACATCAGACATGATGCACGCAGTACTCACTCTCAACACATACTCAAGTTTGAGTGGCTGCCATTCGGTGAACAAAGTTGCCTGCAAGACCTGGCAGAGTTTGGGTAGCTGATTTTCGCCGTGGAGAAGTTTCACGCTACTGTGACCATGGTGACTGTGTCCTTCGCCCTGCCTGGTGACTGACTCAGACTGCTTTTAAAGAGGCTGCGGTCACACATGACAAGTCGCTTTTGCTGAACGCACAATGCAGTGGTCGCAGCAGTAGACGATCAGCAGAAGACAACAGTGCGCTGCATTGCATACTGTAAAACTGGAAATGTTCGGTGGTGTAGTATTTTTGTCATTTCCCAAGATCAACGGTTCGGTAGAGCGAAAATTTTCGTAAACCAGTTTTCCGTAATGCAGCTCGCATGCATGTACGTAGATTTTCGGAGCGCTATATTTTAGGTAAAAATTACCTGTAACGAAGTTAAAAAGTCGGCGTGGAGACAAGAAACCTAATATCGATGAACGTAAAGTGAGCACACTCATACCACGAGAACAATGGAACAATATTATAAGATTTGAACGTCGTCTGTAGTCCAACACTTAGTGTGACGATAATTTCTGATGATAATCACATGAAAACGACGTTCAAATCCCAAAATATTGTTCCATTGTACCGAAGTTTAATACCGAAAATAAATCTCAACCGAATTTTTCCGGTTTTATAGTAGCTATCGCATGGACTCACCTTGATACGAAGACGATCAGGAGCACTGATGTGCTCGGAAGTTGGTGACAACGGTGATAATGGCAATGCCGACAACGCGGGTGATGGCATTGCCATTCGACATGCAAAGTCGCCACACGGCGGAGCGCTGGTGTAGAAGTGAAACTCAACGCCGTCACGTACTCGGAATTTCCCCGGTTCCAGTGCCAGCTCCTTGAATATGGACTCTGATAAACGAGCGAGATCAAAGAGGGGAAAAATCCACAATCCATAGTCCACAAACACACATCGTGTGCATGTGAGCACACCCACCCACCCACCCACACACACACCTCAGACCTCAGACCTGCCCATCGCGGAAGCGATGATAGCGAACAGCTATGTTAGACATAGCAATTTGTGCTGGGATCACACCATTCAACAGCTTGCAAGGCTGATGAATTGACCGCCACTATTTTTAGCCTGGTATCCACCACACAGCTGATTGAAGTGACTTTTTCTGGTCAGTGAACCCCTATTTTTCATTTTTCCATTTTTTCATTTTTTTTCCACACACACCACACCACATACTCCGGCATACACTGGTTGTTGGTAACCACCCAGGAGAATGAAAGAAAAGTCAGGAAGAGTCCGAGAAAGAGAAGAAAGACGTGTGCGACCATAATTATCGGGAATTGAACCCGCAACCTCTCGATTGGAAATCGACTGCACATACCACTGCACCATATGGAACACACACACACACACACACACACACACACACACACACACACACACACACACACACACACACACACACAAATAACACGGCGCTTAAACTTCGTAATCCTCAAACACACATGCTCACAAGATAATGGAGCTGCCTCAGGATTGCGGTGCTATGCTAATGAGTGTGTTTACCAAACAATTATTATCTTCTACAGATGAGACTGCAAGAAGTCTCAAGACCACTATAAATCAGTTTTTTTACAAGATAACCACAAACCACTATGGTGCAAACGCTGGCAAAATGCACAGAGATGCATATAGCGATGGCAGCCGAAGCAGTGGAGGCGGGGCAAGAGCAGCTAAACTGACCAGGGGTCTCGGTTTCAGCACTGCTCATGCGCGCCAAAAGTATGCAGTCAACCTTGCGAACGACGACCCTCATTCGTGCTTGAGAAAAGTGTCATTATTCACGAGTTGTCGTTATTCGTGACGTTGCAAGTATAGAGCTTTTTCAAGAACGCCGTTCCCGCCACCGTCCCGGTGCTCACCCCGAGATTGTGGTGAACAGGTCGCAGGTCAAAACGCATTGAAAAGTATACGAAATGTGACAGGTTCGTCTCGACCAGCGCTTGAAGCGATTCTGAAGCTTGTTCTTTTTCGCCCAAGCCATGGAAGGGCTTCCTGGCAACTGCTCTGACTCAACACGAGTGTCGGACATCAAGTGGAGCGCCATTCTACTGCTTCTTTCGCCTCCACGCATCCATTCCCATGCAAAGTGAACGTGAACTGGGCGGCTTCACCTGTTCACCAGCGATTCAAAAATTTCTCGCACACGTTACCCCAAAAAGTGATCGTTGGTACAACCATGACAAAAGCTATATACAATCAAACAGTCACTAGGACTGCGGATGTGGCGTTATTCACGAGTTGTTGTTGTTGTTGTTGTTGTTGTTGTTGGTGTACCCAAGGCCGCCGTGATACACAAGGCTGACTGTACACTGTTCATTTATCATTAGGGCTGAAACGATCGTGGATTTTCAAGTATCGATTACTCTTTAGCTTAACGATCGAGTAATCGATTACAATCATTAGCAAATAGAGTCATAATTCTGCGCAAACATTACTCTGTTTCCACAAACTATGCCTTCATAATACCAACAAATCTGCATTAGTGAAAGGGTAGCTCCGAAACATGGCAGTTTTGAAGTCAATTTAACCTCAGAACATGAACCATACCCCTGGCAACTGCATACTCCCAGCGGAAACTGATTCAAACTTCACAAAACGAGGGTTTACAGTACTTTCTTGACACAAATTTAAAAAACGCAAAATAATCGTAATCGGTAATCTAAACGATTGCTCGATCGTTAGAATTATCAAACGAGTACTCGATTATTCGGTATAATCGTTTCAGCCCTATTTATCATCCATCAAACTAATTAAAAAGTCGCCGTGGAGACAAGAAACCTAATATGGATGAAAGTAAAGTGAGCATACTCATACCACGAGAGAACAATGGAACAATATTTTAAAAGATTTGAACGTCGTTTTCATGTAATAATCATCAGAAATCGTCATCACACTGACGTTTGAACAAACGGCGAGGAGACAATAATTTATAACCGCAATCGATGAGACAAGCTGAATCGGCATTTGTGTATACTTTATTCATGCAATGTAAAACGGTGGAGACAATGTGCAATAAAACGATGAAAATAGGAAGAAATGGTGTCGTTCAAATCTTAAAATATTGTTCCATTGTTCTCGTTCTTTCATCGATATCCACGAAACTAATAATGTAAAAAGTGTAATTTCAGTGCAAAATGAGGTACAGAACTTTTGCCTGTAACCGATAAGCTCCCAAGGCTAAGACGCAGTGCAAGAAATTTGCGCATCCAGCACACCACGAAGCTGAGGCCTAAAACATGGTTGGGCGCCGGGGAACGAACAGGCTAGGGTTTCTCCAAGCACGGCATACTGATCTTTACTCGGCATGTACTGAAGTACGTGAAAAAAGAACTAGTTGTCTGCACCTCCCCAAGAGTGTGCAGACTCCACTGTAGCCACTCCATGTTTCACACAGTTACCGTATTTCCCCGATTATAAGTCGCACCTTTTTACATTAAAATTCAGGGGGAAAAAGGGGTGTGGCTTACAATCGAGCAGGACTTACTACTGAAGTCGGTATATCGCAACAATATTGCTCAAACCTGAAAATGGTGGTGCGACATATAATCGAGTGCGACTTATAATCGGAGAAATTCGGTATACACCACTAAGAACGGTCTCTCGGCTACCAATTCTTCCAAAAATTCTGTCTGCACCTGGCAATACACTTCCAATTTAAGTAGAGCAATAAAAAAGGATCAACTGCGCACTCTGATGACTATCACAAGAAAACGTTCTTGTAACCTACTCCAAAAATGTTGCCCTCATGACTGTGTGTTTAGGATGAGTGCGCAGTTGATCCTTTTTATTATTTAAAACTCCATTGCAGTCACTTACTGTAAGTCGACAAATTTTCGGCCCATTCAAATTTCGGCCTCCCAGGGATAAAACACATTTTGGCTGCAACAAATGTTCGGCCTGTACTGCTGCTGTCTGTATACACTGTCACACTGAACCTTGCAAAACAAAATTTCGGCTCCAACACATTTTCAGCCAGATAGGATCAGGCCGAAAACAGCCGAAAATAAATAAGCTCCGAGTATTTGTTGACTGACAGTACACATGAGGTTTCCTCAAATCAAACACTCAATCACGGGCTCTTTGCTGCAAGAGTCGAATAAAAAAAGGGTTCACCAAACTTTCGGGCCTAGCCCATCTTCACCATGAAACAGTAAGCCAAGAAACTTTAAAAAAATTCCTAATCCCCTAGTCCAGCAGGCACGTGGCAACACTGGTTGCAAGGTCGGGTCGAGTACACCAGACATCAACACCATGTCGCTCCTCGGCTCTAACAAGATTGGAGCTGATGAGCACCTGCAAAGACACATCATGTGGCTAGGATGATTTGCTGTCCAATAAGTAAGTAAAAAGTAAATTATCGTATTAGTTCCCAAAGGGAACTGTCCAATGGCTGGTTAAATTTGCCCGCATGACATGCTTATTGGCATTAAGTCATTGCGATTGTGGAATAATAATAATACAAGTATTACATACATACATACCGTTCATCCTTTGCACCACTCGCATCATACCATCGTGATTTGAACCAAACCTGTCCTGCGATGATTGCCTATCAGCCAGCAGAAGATTCAGCTGCAGGTAGAGATAGCGCACAAACGCACGCCTAGCGAGTACTTCCGGGTGGTAGTCGCGGATGGACTCCAGATCGGTGTCCGCTGCGCTACCGTTGTCCGCGCCTGGTTTGCCACCACCGCCGTCGTTTGAACTTGAGTCGATTCCGGCGACTGCTCCACCACCGGCCATAGCAACCACTGTAATGTCCATGCACAACAACAACAACAACAACAACAGCAGCAGCAGCAGCAGCAGCAGCAGCAGCAACAACAACAACAGCAGCAGCAGCAGCAACAACAGCAGCAGCAGCAGCAGCAGCAGGAACAACAGAAGCCGCAGCAACAACAACAGCAGCAGTAGCAGCAACAACAGCAGCAGACGCAGCAGCAGCAGCAAAAGTAGCAGCAGCAACACCAACAGCAGCCGCAACAGAAACATCAGGGCAATCCTATATTGGCAACCCCCCCCCCCCCCCCCGAACACACACACACACAAGAATCTATACATGAGGACTGACATGGCATGCTGCCTAGATCATGCAAGCATGATTAGGTGGATTAGCAAGGCTGTTGTGTCGCTATTGTCCTGCAATAGTACGCAGCTTCCAAGTGCTTCTTTTCCTCAAACCTTTTTAGTCGTTGTAAACGATGGTTTGCACTTGTACCCACACACTGAATTAGCTAACACACACGCACGCACGCACGCACGCACGCACACACACACACGCACACACACGCGCACGCACCCACGCACCTCCCACCCCACACACACACAAACGTACCTGAATACTCATCACCCAGACTGCCAGCTTGCCTCTGCACAACGGCAGCAAAGTGAGATCGGCCGGTCAACGGTTGTGGCAGGGACGCCACTAGCTCAGCATACTTCTCTTCACACACGGCCACGATGGGACTATCGGCGGCAATGTCGATATCACTGTCGTCCATACGATCATCGGCTATACCGGCATCGGCAGCAAAGCTCGGATTCACGTTAAACACTTTACGCAGGGCTGAGGCCGCTGCCTCCTGCAACGCCAGTTTCTTCGTACGGCCCGTGCCAGTGATGTCGTTGCCACGCACACAGAGCTCTGCGCGGAAACGGTCCTCGGACGGAGCGCCGTTCGGGTCGGTGTCGACGACGTTGGATGCGTACTTGCTGCACAGCGTGTTCAGGACTCCGAGCGGACTCTGAGCGACTTGCTGCAGACGACCGCTTCTCCCTTGAGCGAGCAGCCCAGAAGGCGGAGAGCCCTCGCAATGGCGTCCATTCCCGGCGGACGAACGGAGCTCGGAAATCGCCGACGCAATGCTTGCCTGTAACGTTGTCTGGGGAAACACCGGACTGGCATTGCGACGAACTGATGCAGACTCGGGAATGGCACGTGAACTCCCTCTGCAAGCACTATGGTAGTTAATGTTAAACACCGTGTCAAGGGCGGAGGCTGCGGCAGCTTGCAGTGCCGCCTTCTTGTTGGGTCCGTTTGCTACAATGTCATTCCCGAGCACACGGAGCTCGGCACGGAAACGCTGCTGAGGTGTGGTCGTAGCCATCCCGCCGTCGTCAAACACCGTAGACGTACACTCCTTTCCCTGACAGAGGTTGTTCAGCATGCCCAGCGGACTCTGTGACGGGTGCGACACCCTGCCGGGGACCGGCACAGGCGGGGCAACCCTCTGAGCCGGCTGCGGCGACAAGGAGTCGGATGAAGAGTGAGACGGTGACGACAGGGGATTAGACGGAGCGTGAGAATGGGGTAAAATATACGCAGAGTGAGAGTCTGGACTCAACACAGCTTTCTCACCGCCCATACCAGAACCGCCGCGCTGTGTAACCATCATGCCATGGGACGCGGAGACATCGCCACCAGCTGCTGTGTGGCGTGCCGCATTGCAGTCCAGGAGCACGGCCAGAGCCGCCCGGTGCTTGGCGTCCTGCTTGCGAGCGCTGAATCCAGAGAAATCCTTGCCGTTCACCCTGGCCACAATGCCATGAAGAGGACTCCTCGGCGTTTTGGGCTCCTCCTCCCACACCACCTGGTACGTGCTAGTGTTCAGGACTTCGTTAAGCAGCTGCAGAGGCGGCTTGCCAAACTTCCGTATGAAGTCCTCGCAAGTCTCGATGCCGTTGAGGTCCAGGCGTCGGCGGAGTATGGGCGCGGTTGTTCGGGCTGGTGCTGGTGTCGGTGGTAGCACTTGTGCTGCTGCTGGTGGTGGATGTGCTAGCGGTGTGGGTGGCGACTGGTCTGCTGCTGGTTGCAGTGAAGGTAGTGTTGCCTGGGGCATTGCTGGTGGTGGCGAGGGTGGTGGTGCCAACTCGCCCAATTCCACCTCTGATAGCAGAGACGATGCCGGTTGACCCATGGACAACGAGGTCAGACCGTACTGTTGGCATTGTCGCTTGGCGGAAGGCTCTAAAAGCAAAGCATTGTCATCCTCCACCGACACCTGAAGCAGCAGCAGCAGCAACAGCACAGCAGCAGCAATAGCAACAGCACCAGCACCAGCAGCAGCAGCAACAGCAACAGCAACAGAAGCAGCAGCGATGGTGGCAGCAACAACAGCACCACCACCACCGTCATTAGAATCGCGAGCAGCAAGCAGCAACAACGTAATTGTATTATATGTACAGTCAGCCTCGTGAATAACAACCCCGGAAATTACAACCCCGGAAATAACAACAGCTCGAGAACAACAACAACAACACTATCTTCAGACCAAGTAACCACTCGCACGTATACTTTTAACTTTTAAGCTCACGAATGTGCCGGCAAAGATTGCCGGCCACATGTTTAATCCAACACTTCAATAGCCAGCACCCTCTATAAACCAGCATAGTTTTCAGCAACCAAAAATTCCTTTTCATGCACATTGCAGCAGTAAATCAGATTTTCTAATCCAGCACCCTCCCTAATCCAGTACCCTCCCTAATCCAGTACCCTCCCTAATCCAGCACCCTCCCTAATCCAGCACCCTCCCTAATCCAGCACCCTCCCTAATCCAGCACCCTCCCTAATCCAGTACCCTCCCTAATCCAGTACCCTCCCTAATCCAGCCGAACGTCCGTAGCACAAATGGTGGCGGGTTATAATGGGAGCACTGTATATGAAGTGTATCGAGGGAATGCATGCAGTGCAGGGCGATAGTGCGGGTTCGAATCCAGGTTATGTGTTGGAAAAAAAAGAAAAGAAAACGAAATAAGCTAGTGTCATAGCCTACATCATTGTATTGCAAAAACGTTTCCATCAGTTTGAATAACATGCATGGTGATCTAGGCAAAAAAAAGCATAGCGAGGGCCCTGCGCTTTCAAGCTCTCTCGTTTTCATGGCGGCACTTTGATACAAGCTCGCTCCTTTTCTTGAAGGACAGGCGTGTATTGAAACTGTAGTGTGTGGTGTGCAGAACACATTACTCTCTTAGGCTGTACTCACACTACTTGAAAAACCGCATACAAGTGACTTACGTGTGAATGTTGCCACGGTGACGGTTGCGAAAATGAAAAAAGCCCTTGAAAGCGGCTTGAAAGGTTTCAGCGGAAACGGAACCCTCTTCTACGAGGTTTTTTGCTTTCAAGCCGTTTGGAAAGCTGTGTGAGGTCAGGAGGCCGGCGTACTATTGTACGTTGAAAGGCTCCAGAATATTTTTCATGCTTTGTTTCCTCGTGGTCGTACTGCTCCTGTACATATACTTGTAGTTTCCTTTTTTTGCCTGTCATTTCTGAATTCTGTAGTGTTTTTCCGAGTATTTTCCGTCTTCTTTCTTCCAGTAGCTTCCCGTTGTTTTGATTGCCGTTTCTGTCGCATTTCTTTTGTACCATTGCTTTTGTACCGACATCATGCCTCGCGTAGTGTTTTCTGACGACTTGGAGAAGAAGCTCATCGAGCTGTGGAGAGAAACCTCTTCATCCGTCGACGTCGACGATGTGCTACTTCTTCGCGAGGCATGGTGAATGAACTCCACGATCCAAGCAAGATATAACTGTTTCTATTTTTCTCATGAACTGAAAATTTCAAATAAGTTGATCGAGCACAAAAAATTGAAGGAACGCAGCCTCGGGATTTGCAAAACTACCACATGACAATCATGTTTCTCCATGGTAATTTGCTGACAAAAATGTTTCAAGCAGCTCAGGGAGTCGTAAAATACTTAGTAAAGTATTTTACGACTCCCTGGTTTCAAGTCGTCACTGGAGTGCAGTGTGCTTGGAAAGGCTTTTTCAAGTACTTTTTTCTAGTTTTGAACGCGACATTCGCGTCAAACTTTCAAGTAGTGTGAGTACAGCCTTAGTCTAAGGTTACCAATAGTATTTTGAACTATTTTCAAAACGAAATGTTTTCGTTTGGGGGTGGGTGGGTTTTAGGAGTTTCGTTTTGAAAATAATTATTGAATGTACATGGCGAATGCCCAGTTACTTCTGGGTGCCGAAGATTGAAATCAATATTTTGTTGGACTGCGTTTTACTTGCAGAAAGGGTGGGTGGGTGGGTGGGGGTTGAAAAATGCTAAAACGTTTCGTTTCTGAAAAACAATCGGTAACCCCGGACGACCCATTATTACAAACAACAACATCATCACCATCACCCTAAGCAATATGTGCCCTTACTCGCTTGCGACTGCCTGCGGGTGCTGACGGCCAAGACTGATCCATCGCCTCCGGCATTTCTTGAGCGTTGCGTGATAGTCGCCGCGACGATCTTCTTGCTGGTTTACGCAGCTCCGCCGGTTTCTCCATCGTCTGTTTTCTCACTGCAATTGCACTGACGTCGCTCCTGGCAGATGAGAGTGACTCGCCAGAGCCAAGGTAACCCACACGGCAAACCTGACAAGGAAAGAAGAAACGAATACGCCAATACGATTACATTACGGAGGTTCAGAAAGAAGAAGTTTGCCTTAAGGCATGTTCGATTAATAGGGTAGGATCGGGATCCAGATCAACCGGATCCACTGGATTTGCACCCTTTCGATTGGTCAAATCCGGATCCTTTGGATGTGGATCCGGTCAACCCGCCTCGGGGAGCAGGGTTGACAGGATCCAACGGATCCAATGTCACTTGAAATGTGACCTTTGTGCGTATAAGGCTGGTAAAAATCATTTTTGCATACATTGTCGTACGCACACACGTGGATCTAGATACAGTAAAACCTGTAATGGCGACCACTCGGATACGGCGACCACTCAACCATGGCGACCACTCGGATACGGCGACCACTCAACCATGGCGACCACTCGGATACGGCGACCACTCAACCATGGCGACCACTCGGATACGGCGACCACTCAACCATGGCGACCACTCGGATACGGCGACCACTCAACCATGGCGACCACTCGGATACGGCGACCACTCAACCATGGCGACCACTCGGATACGGCGACCACTCAACCATGGCGACCACTCGGATACGGCGACCACTCAACCATGGCGACCACTCGGATACGGCGACCACTCAACCATGGCGACCACTCGGATACGGCGACCACTCAACCATGGCGACCACTCGGATACGGCGACCACTCAACCATGGCGACCACTCGGATACGGCGACCACTCAACCATGGCGACCACTCGGATACCGCGACCACTCAACCATGGCGACCACTCGGATACGGCGACCACTCAACCATGGCGACCACTCGGATACGGCGACCACTCAACCATGGCGACTACATTTCCTTGTCACGGATGCATTCACATTCAAAACAGCTCGGATAAGGCGACCACTCGCTCAACGCGACCGACGGCCACCCACCCGCGACCGCGTTGCACAGTGCTAGTACATGTAAATGTATTCATTGCATGGTGCACCAGACATGGTAGATCTACACATCAGTGCAGGAAGTGTAGATGTGCATGGTGCATGCACGACACTTGACAGGTCTGAGGACCCCAGGCACATGAGTCGTGCTAGAGTAGCATACGTGTGCGCACTGTGATACACTGATCAAAATGATGTATCACATGTGGATATGGTCACGTGACCCACTGAACCTGGATAAGAAGACCACCTGGCCACGGCGACCACTTTTTCTCATCCCTTGACTCCTTGAGGGGTCGCCTTAGACAGATTTCACTGTAGTCTTGGTGACTTTTCATACGACGCTGGATCGCGATCTTACCAATCAAACATGCCCTTAGAGTTCCCACTGCAATGAAAGGCGAACTTAATTATGAGATTTGCATTGTGGTGAAGATTAGCAAACAGCATTAGTGCTTGCATGGCTGTATTAACAGACAATCTGGCGGTTTAGTATTACAAATTTCGCATCCAAATTTGCACACACTTTTGGTTCGCAAACTGGAAACCAGAAATTCGCATTTTCAATCGGAAACGCAGTCGGAACAGGAATGGCGGATTCGTGTCACTAACGTCGTAAATGTACTACGCTGTACTGTCTGTGCGGCACACATTCACAGTACGGCCTATCAATGTCCTGCAAGCACGAGGTCTGTTCGCTAAATCCCCTGCAATGCAATGCAAATTTCATACACTGACTTCGACTTTCGGTCACACGTATTTTAAGCTGGTGCACTTGTGAATATGTCTTCTGCAAACAAATACGCACTCTGATCTTGCACGTGAGCTTGCATGCTGCACTGTTCCCTACTATGTTGGGTCAATCTCTTTGATCCCCCCCCCCCCCCCCCCCCATCTACGTAACCAAGAGTACATAACCCCCCAAGAGTGTGCAACTCCCACATACATTGCTGTCCCGACAGAATTTCAAGTTAACGTCATTATTTATGATGCAATGCTCCTTGCACCAGTGATTTACAGCATATGTACGGGTGTCAACGCATCACACGTTTTTCTTTGCAATAAATTGTACAGGATCAGATGGGCTTTGGTCCACCACAGGTTCCGGATTCGTCTGGTAATCCGTGTACAGTGCGCATTGCATAATAAAAACGACGTCAACTTGAAATTCTGTCGGGACACCACCCATAGTCGAGTGGTACACTATTGGGGGGTTATGTACTCTTGACGTTACGTATAAGCCCTCCACAACTGTGTAATGGCTGAAGTTATACAATTACACTAGATACCCTTAACAATAATAACGGATACAATTACACTAGATACCCTTAACAATAATAACGGATACAATTACACTAGATACTCTAGATACTAGATACTCGGTACTCTAGATACTAGATACTCTAACAATTTTATCAAACATTATGATAATTACCACATCAAATGCTGCGGAGACCTATCCAGAATCGGCAATATGCTGGCCCTGGCCTGGAGATCTGCAACTATAATCAGCTTCTACTTTGCAACACTAACGGATTAGTCCCCTTTGTCGATTGATGGATCAATCGGTAGATTCGGCTCTGTTTTTCTTTCCTTTCTTTCTTGTTTTGAATTGTACGTTGAACTCATTGGATTTCTTTGTATTCTGCATCTCGTTATCGTTATATTTCCCTCTAGCCCTCTCGCTTAGGATGAGCTTTCTTTTTTATGGCAGCTTAAGCGAAGGCTATATACCTGCTTTATGCAGGTTGATGCCAACGCGAACAAGCAAAATAATAATAATAATAATAACAACACTTCAACAATACCGTGCCTAAGCCCAGGCATACTGTAGAACATGTTATTTTCGGTGTAACTTTAATTTCCGTGATTTCGGTAGAAAAACCAGGCACCTAAATTTAAATTCCACCTAAAAGCCTCTAAAGTATGCACTACATGTGATGGGAAAGCTGGTCACCTAATTCTATAGTTACAGTAGTTTGCACTTGGGATTCAAACTGCACTCGACTCCACTTATAACAGACTCGCATATAGCGAATTTCGTGATCTAGCGAAGCCTTGTCCATGTCCCTGTGTGAACCCATACCAAAATGGACCCTTTACAACGAACAGTTTTCGTTTATAACGAACCAAATCTTGTAGGGCCTCATGTAAACCAAGTACACTCATACTGTCTGGGCCATATGGCAGTCATGACTTGCTGCTTGTATAGTGTGAGTGCATTTCTGTTATAATGAACTTCAGCTACTGTATAAAGAACTAATTCTCCTGCACAATGGTGTTCGTTATATCAGGGTCGACTGTATCACCCCATGTGGTAAAAGCATGCGATTCGCTTTCTCTTCAACAGAATCATGGTAAGAAAACTGGATGAGATTTGAGCTTACCCACACGCAACAACGGAAAACAGGTACGCAGCCAGCCTGCTCAATATCATCCAGCACTCCTACGTGGCTGTGTCAGGGTAGTAGACTTTCACAGCAAAGAAAATTCAGCCTACGACATCGATATGCCAGTGAATTTGTACACAACCAGGTTATCTTTCTTCCATTAAATTTGTTGATGATCGTGTCACGACTCAGTTCAATTGTTCAGCTCCGCTATTCCAAAAATTTGGTGGGCTCAAGGGGCTAGGGGATACTGCAGAACATTGGACTTTCGATGCCCGGCCTCTTGATCGTCAACACAAACACGAACACACAAAGCACAAACGAACTACAGCTGCACCTCACAATCAAAAGCATGACATTGTACACCTCCTCTGATCTGGCTTCGTCTTTTGACTAGGGACTTTCCCCTTTACATTCTGCGTCGAAACAGTGAGGTTTGCCGGGTGGGGTTTGAGTAGCATCCATCCAGTTTTTAGAGTGAAATCTATCAATTCCGACATAAAATAGCATCAAAACTATGATTGGATGGGTTAACTCACCCGCGCGCTCCCTTTGCTTTGGCCAAGACCAGACTGGCAAGAGTCAAGACTTTCCGACCATGCCCAGTGGCAGTGCAGTCGCGGCGACCACCGACGGTCCGTGTCTGTCAAGTGTCATCTGGCAGTGGCCAACCCGATACTACGATAGCCGTACATACAGTTGCCGGAGCATGATGAATGTCCCAAACTGGGGCCAAAGCCTCGAAGCCTTTGAAAGAAGAGTTAGTAAAATACCAGTAGTCAGCGTGAGGTCTGACTCTGACTAAGGAAGCTACATGTATTGAGACTGAGCAGTGGGCAGTTCGCCAAACAACAAGTCGGTTAGTGAGAAGACAACATTATTATCATGGTCGTCACTGTGCCAGTTTGAGCTTCCAACGCCGTTTCTTTGCTAGTAATAAAAATTAATAGTAGCGGAGTTTGAAGGTTTGTCAGTCGTTTCAGCGATGGCCTGAAAAACACGCGGGTCGAAATTATACACTTTGGCGTGACAGGAGGATCGAAGTTGTCTTCGTGCTGTGGTAGCGCGCTATTCGGTCACTTTGAAGTGCTTGTGATACAGGTGCTGGCTCCTTGTTTGAGTTCGCCTGTCGCCGAGCTAGCAGATAGCGAGCGGGATAGTACGGTAAGCGCTCGACTGACAGCTTTCGGGCAATGATCAGTGCAAAGGAAAAACTCTGAATGATATTGATAAGTTCACAGAAGGGTTCGTTCTTCTCTCAACAATTTTGTTTGTGTTTTGCTGCACTAAATCGTGTCGTCCGTCACCGTGTGATTTGGTGGAGCTGCACGCCTTGGACGTGGTTGGATGGTGGTGGGCATGAGTATTTTAGCCCGTTGTGTAAACAAACATATATGTGGCATGTGGCCTCGAATTTCCAAACATATGTTTGGTACAAAATAAGACTGGAGCATAGGTCTTGATATTGCTTCACCCGCTAGTACCTCTACCTGTTTCACTCTAGCGGCAAAAACTAGCGTTGTCATTGCGCAACTGATCCACGTGTGCATCGCCAGTTGGTGGGTCTGCTTTGCGTGTCGAGCAGCGTACAGATCTCACAAGAAGAGCATACGTGAGGATAGTCGACTCCGGACCATAGACTGTGTGGCTAACTGTTATGCGTGTATTGGGTACAGATTTCTAGTGGCGATGAAGACCTACAATAAAGTAGTACAGTAGTAGTACTTCTACAAGTACAAGTACATAATTGTGGCACACAGAAAGAAAATGCATCCGTAGATCCAGATCTGCATGGCGTGTAACACCAGGATCTGGCGGTATGCCCCCTCCCCCCCCCCCCCCCCTCTCCCCCTAGAAAATGCTGCACTTTTTCATATCGGAAATTTCCATGTGATTTCTTTGCATGAGCGGAGGCGAAAGTCTTTGCGATACGTAACGCCTACGAGAGCAATGACTCCGATCTTCATGTTGCTTTCTAGTCCCGTAGAGCAGAGCCTTGCTATTGTTCGAGCACTACCCTGCGACAGCGTAGATCCATGTACAGGTTTACGCTTGTTACTAGACAACCACAGGGGTTTCAATGTGTTTGTCTTATATCGAGTATTATCTACTATCCGGACTTGCTTGTACAACTGTTGAATGCGTTTCAGGCGGCAGGGTTTTTTGGACCGTTGTCCACTGATGAGGTTTGTCTTGCAACCGATGTCGTACTGACGAGAGTAGACCTGTAGCATGGGTCACCAAGGGAACTTAACGATGATCTGTCGGTGAGATCTCTTTATGACGTAAAACGTTCGCGGCCATTTAGCTCACTAATGCCATCACATGTAGCCCGGCAGCCGGCTCAACTGTGCGAAGAACTTGTACATCGTAGCTACGGTACTTGAAGCCGTGAGAATTACAGAAGGTAGATCTGTGCATGCAGAACCTGATGAACTGACACCCTATCTACGTGACAAAGCGTGGGAATGCGCAAAACACTTTAAAATCATACATTATACTTTTACCACCGGTCACGTGCTCCGCGCGAGTTGTGTACTTCTGTCAGTGGCTGCATACTCTGCGCAAGCTGTGTACTTCTGTCAGTGGCTGCATACTCTGCGCAAGCTGTGTACTTCTGTCAGTGGCTGCATACTCTGCGCAAGCTGTGTACTTCTGTCAGTGGCTGCATACTCTGCGCAAGCTGTGTACTTCTGTCAGTGGCTGCATACTCTGCGCAAGCTGTGTACTTCTGTCAGTGGCTGCATACTCTGCGCAAGCTGTGTACTTCTGTCAGTGGCTGCATACTCTGCGCAAGCTGTGGACTTCTGTCAGTGGCTGCATACTCTGCGCAAGCTGTGTACTTCTGTCAGTGGCTGCATACTCTGCGCAAGCTGTGGACTTCTGTCGCCATCTGCACTGTGTGTGCAAGTCACAATATTTCTGCCGTTGGTGGAAAATCGGCGCGAGTTTTGTACTTCTGCCGTTGGTTAAACACTCTGCGCGGGTTGTGTGTTTCTGCCCTCGGTTACACACTGTGCATGAGTTGCTGCTGACAGTGTACTTCTGACATCGGAGGAAACTCTGCGCAAGTTTTGTACTTCTCGCAGTGGCTGCACTCTGCGCGAATCGTGTACTTGTGCCGTCGGTTGAACACTCTGGGTGAGCCATATAGTCGTGGCATTGCAAGCATCGTGATGGTGATTACTTCATGACACTATGCTGGTGTGATGTTGTAACACGTATGGCTGTCTGTCACCGGCGCTGTCATGATGCCGCTAGTTCCTCATGTGTTCACCTGCCGCATGCGTGTGAACGTTAACACGGTTGTCTTAGTTCGTCCGGCTTATAGTCTTTGGATTTGCTCCAAAGAGCATTATTTGTCTGGTGATGGTCAAGATGGGCTGGACACTTTGATATATTTACTTGTTTTTTTGTGAGTGTAAGCAGCTTGTGGGAGTAATTTATTGGCTTGTTGTGAATGAGAGCAGCTTGTGAGAGTATTTTTTTTGTCAGTGTAAGCAGCTTCTGAGCCTAGATTCCACTGACTAGTTCGTATTAGACTTGAACTTGTTGTGCTGAACTTCATTTTCTACGCAAGCCACATACTCTCGAAGGGGAAACGCAGGTAAGCGTGGTGGTTGGGTGGATCTGGAAGTGGATAATGGTGAAAAAGAAGAACAGAGAGGATACAGTAGTGGAGAGGAGACTGCCAGAACAGAGAACTGAGTCCGCTGTTCTCTTCTTCATTGTATTTATCAATTTAAAAAAATGTGAATGAGGCTCTCCGTTGCATGCAATGATCGAGTATGACATCAGTCATGTGATGTTCGACTGTTGTTCATTTTATCCTTGCAGCTTGTAAACAAGAGAAAGGTCTTTGCCGAAGAAGATGAGTGTGATCTATGGCATTCACCCCGGTCGGCGTTCCGTTCGGGATCGTGCCAGGTCGGGCAAGACCGAGTTGAAGGTTTTCTTGCCATCCGGACTGATCATCCCACTCAAGGTCAAGTCTACGAGCACGCTAAGCGAAGTCAAGGTGAGGCCATTTAGGCACGCGCGCGCGTGTGTGTGCATGGGTGTGTGTGTGTGTGTGTGTGTGTGTGTGTGTGTGTGTGTGTGTGTGTGTGCGTGCGTGCGTGTGTGTATGTGCATGTGTGCATGTCGGTTTAGTTGTCTCCCAAACTTTCATGCAGGAAACACCTTGACAGCGTTCCTTCTCGCTGGCTTGGCCTTACGACACGAATGGATGACCCACGCATGCCAATGTGTATCGTTCTCGGCTAGCAAGGCTGTACTCTGGGCGATTTCGTTTCCATGGGAGTTTCAAGCTTTGCTTGTGTGGTGTCGGTTCACTATCTATAGATAATAGAGGTTATGAGACCATGACATCATTTGAGAGTGTTTTGCCTGTACCGTATTTGCCGGAGTATAACGCGCACCTTTGTATAACGCGCACCCCCAATCTTCAACCACAAATTCACACAAAATGACTCTATTCGGTGTATAACGCGCAGTCAAATCGGGGATATTTGGTTCTGAAATTGATCCCGTCAAAGGATGGTGAAACTTATGAATATTTTCCGGTGAGTCCGAATGCAGTGAAGCGGCGGCATCAGACACGCTATGGTCGCTATGGTATTACAGTTCATTATCGGAAACAGTCCCGCTTGCTCAGTTTGAAAGTCCGATTTTGGCCGAATTGAAGATCAAAAACCCACTTTAATTCTCTAAAATCTGATTTTGGATCTGCTTCTCCATACATTTTGCCATGGCATACCTGTCCTAATTTCGTAAAACCTGGCTGAATTTCTATTTCCCTGTTCTTGGACTTTTCTGGCCTCAGATGTGGCAAGGAGTACTTGCACGGGTCACACAATGCAGGTTGTACTGTTGTTTTCAGGATATCTACATCTATGTGCGGGAGGCACCAAAAAGTTCGGTTGCCAGTTTCCAATGAATGGACTGTAACTTGGTTCCAATTTTTTTGAATTTGTTAGAATTCATGGAGAGCCTGGCCAGAATGGAACCTGGTTTTATCAGAAGTGAGAAAAAATTGCACGCGTTTGCGCACACAGGACGGGTCAAGAACCACCTCCCCGCTTCTGTAGGACGCCACCATCCCGTTCTCAGCTAGGCTTGAGATGTGGCTCCTAAACGGTGGGATAGGGGAAATGAGATTCACCAACCAGAGGCCAAAGGCCGAAATCCCATTTGCCAAGTCCATTAGAAGTGAGAGCCTGGCCAGAATGGAAGCTACAGAGGCTGACCATATACTCATCAAATCCCTTCCATCGCCCCTGTAGTAATACTATTTGCTTAACACCATCATGTTGTGTTTGTTGTGAACCATGCACGTCATGTTATACGCTTTGTTTGTGTGTTTCGTCTTACCCGGTCGTCCTTCTCCGCACAGAAAGAGACTTGGAAGTTTGCAAAGAACTTTCCCTTGTCAGACACTCTGATGGAACCAGCGGACTATGTGCTGTGCACGATAACGTCGACTAACGGAGTGGAGGAGGAGTTGCTCGAGGAGACCGTTCAGCTGTGTGATGTAGACTATTATATGTAAGTTTGGGTGAAAGAATTGGCATACTGTACAGCCGGGAATTATCGGCGGTGTAGTATTTTCGATATTGCCCAAAATCAACGTTTCGGTAGTGCGAAAAATTCGGTAAAACCAGTTTTTCGTAATGCATTAAAAGAAGTAAATTATCGTGTCCGTTCCCGAAGGGAACTCGCGACGGCAGCTAACACCCGGTAAACCCTAGCGGCAGATGCAGCGCCTAACGGTGGGGTGAGTGGATAAGTCTCACAACCACTGGCACAAGTGCCGAGAAACCCCATTAGATGCATCCATGTACCCCTTTACCCCTTGTGCCTGGCCACAAGTTCCCAGTTGACTGTGGGTAGCAGCACGGCTGGAAAAACCGCTTCCAGGCCAGACTTGAACCAGGTACCTCTCGTGTCTCAATCATGGTCTTCGACCAACCCGCTGTGCCTGCCTGGTTCATACTGCATTCATGTACGTATATATTCGATGCCTTTTACCTTAGGTAAACATTACCTGTACCGAAGTTAAGACATGAGAACGAGTTATGCATCCACGACTGTAACAAGATAATAAACAGTCAGAAAGTCATGGATAGTTGCTGCATATCTCGTTCTCACGCGTTTTCTTCTCTTTTTTTAAACACATTTATTACTGGCTCAGTGTCCGAGTTGAAATTTTAACCCCTTATCTGGCCATGAAATTCAGTGTAAAACAGAGTAACTAGCATTTGTTTATGAGGGTACAGCGTACGTGTATAGGGTCACTGGCATGCTTTATTCATTTGTCCCGAGTGGCCAGACCATACTGTAGGTTTGGTTTGCAGTGGCCTGATTTGTCTGTGTACCCTCTTCCTCCCCCTTCCCTCTCCCGCCTCCACGCACACACACACACACACACACACACTCACACACACACACGCACACACATGCGTGCGTGCACACACACACACACACATACGCACTCTCTCTCTCTCTCTCTCTCTCTCTCTCTCTCCACTTCCCACCCAGGCCAATCTTCTCGGTGAGACTTCAGCAGGGCAACACCGAGGACAGGCTGATGATGAGACGTCTCAACATAGCCGCCGGCATGGGACTTAGCACTGGAACTCAGAAGGACTCTCGCCTGGGGACTGCCGTTGACCCGGCCACCGAGGAGATCATGGACTTCAAGCGTAGTGTCGTCTATGAAGTAAGTGACACGCGCGTGACTGGTGTCTGTATAATATATAACAATTGTATGCACAAGCCTTGGCTGTGTGGCTACAACAGTTGTGCTCGGTGAAATGCGACCAAGAGTGCATATGTTGCGCCCTCAACTTGAACGGCCCTTGACGCCCTGGAGGTGGCACGAATGCGGCTGGACGTACACATGTACAAATAAAATGATGTAGTCGGAACTGGTCCAGGGCGCCAGCTTTGCACTTTGGGTCGGATTTCACCGAGCGCAACTGTGTTAGGTCTCCTGCCCGGACTGATTCAACCATCTGTGCTATTGTTTACTCCATGACCGGTGGTCGTACAGTGGAACCAACTTAGCAGGACATATTGGATGTTCGGGGACCAGTGGTTCGATCCAATGTTATCAGAACTTTATGTTCCCGCCCATAGGCTCCAATGGGCACTCATGGTCTCCTATCTGATTAGAATTCAAGACGAGCAAAAGGGTGGTGAGACCTAGTGTACTCGACTAACCTCCCGAGGTCTCGGCCTCATAGTTAACTAACGTTAGATACACCAATATATCTTGTTGTATTGCTTGTCTCACACACTATAAGCCCATTGTGCAATGACATAATTTGAACCGTAAACACCCACACACACAGCCGTGACCTGGGCATGGTCGTGTGCGGGTGTTGAACAGTGCATTGCGGATCCCAGCAGCGTACTCACATAACACCCGCACACACAGCCGTGACCTGCGCATGGTCGTGTGCGGGTGTTGAACAGTGCATTGCTGATCCCAGCAGCGTACTCACATAACACCCGCACACACAGCCGTGACCTGCGCATGGTCGTGTGGGGGTGTTGAACAGTGCATTGCGGATCCCAGCAGCGTACTCACATAACACCCGCACACACAGCCGTGACCTGTGCATGGTCGTGTGGGGGTGTTGAACAGTGCATTGCGGATCCCAGCAGCGTACTCACATGCATAGCTCATACATTCTGTATTTGGCAATGCGCTTATACTCTGCTCTCAGGTGTGTGACCCAGCGGTGAAGAAAAGATGTGAGTCGTGGGAGACACGTGCTAGCTACCAGTACGGCTGTGAGACTGAACCCAGCCCGGAGTTGCCCGACTCGATTCTCAAGCTGATCGCCTCCAACCATTCCTTTGTCGTCAACGTCATGGTAAGGCAAGCTTTTGCCACCGGTCTTGTGTGTGTGTGTGTGTGTGTGTGTGTGTGTGTGTGTGACGGTGTGTGTGTATGTCCTCCTTTATCTCCTCCCGTGATGGTAAGCATCATCAGCCTTGCAAGCTGTTGAATGGTGTAATCCCGGCACATGTTGCCATGTCTAACATAGCTGTTCGCTATCATCAATGGGTATGTGTAGGTGTAGGTGAGCCAAGCGTTTATCACCGGTCCGGTGTGTGGATGTGTTTTTCTCCTCTTCGGCATGCAAGGCACGTCGACTATGCGTATTGCTGTGTGACTTGGCTGGAGGCCGCCGAGTTGTCCTCATCCGTAGGAACGTCACCACCCTCTGTAGATCAAGGCGTAGACATGTGTAGAGGGTCCTGAATTATTGTTGCCTTTTGTTGTTGTCCCTTGTGTTGATACCTCCTACTATAGCCTGACCCTAACATATCGTCCACTAAGTCTTTGATGGTGGCACTCAAGTGTGACGTGAATGATCTGATACGAGACGTGGTCAAGGTGAAACTGCGTCACACCAAGCAGCAGGACATTGGCGACGGCGAGATCAACGTTGATGACTACGTCATGAAGGTGAGCACCACCACGGGGAGACTCCCTCAGTATCACTAGAGTAAAACTGCCCAGTTCGGGGGCAGGTTGGGACCGAGCACTGCCTGTAATAGGTCTTTTGCCAAATAAGACACGCAGTGACTTGGCGGGGCATGGCATGCGTACTGAATGCGTGACCCAGGCACGCCATACATGCAGTGCATTCCTCCCAGCGCGAGCTCTTGTTTTGGAACCGCAACGATCAATCACCGCGTTTGGCGTGTACTCGCCCACTTGGCCAGAAAAATGTGGCTCTCCTGGATCGAAAAAAATGACAGCGAAGGGTTTCTGTTTTATTCTCGCTTTTCAACGCTGTCCGCTGTTTGTTTAGAAAGTATCTCGTTGTGATTTACTTCTCGCTGGGCCTTTGCAGTGAGTTTGATACATCATGTAACATGGCTGACGAAGCGGGCCATGAGCCGAGCCCTTCTTCTCTTGCCGCGATACGTTGCGATGAAGGGAACGTTGCAACTAGTCCTGTGGCTGAAAATGAAATTGAAGATCCCAATGTTCGGTTTGTGATGCCTCCGGACAACGAGTCGTTTGAAAAATGGACGGTCAACCAATTGAAGACGTACCTGCGAGCTAGAGGAGCCCGAGTGTCCGGGAAACGAGATGAGTTGCTCGAACGGTAAGTACCACTTCGGGATGCAGTCTTCAAATAACTTTTCACAAAAGGAAAAGAAAATTTTATCGGTACATGTTTTTGCTTTCCAACTTCCTCCATCTGTTCAGGGCCAGGTTCTACCACAACGATCCAAAACTGTGCACTCCAGATACATCTGGCGGCAGGCGTCGGCAAGGAAAACGGAAGAGTGCTGCCATTCAGAGCATTGTTGACGCTGAGCTCGTGGAAGCACATAGTGATGCAATAAGCACCTCGTCCACTGTAGCAGCTATATCTCGTCCTAGTTTTCCTGACACAGGGTGGGACACATCAAGCTCTGCTTTGCCAAATGACCTATCGCTTGGTGTGATTTTCGATCACCTCCGAGCCTGCGGCAAGCATGCTACCGTGAAAAAGCCCTTCACCCGCGGATTCAACTTCTTCTTCTGGAGTTACATACATTCTGTGAGCTGTTGCAAGATTGCAATGTCTACTGAGACCCCGACCAGATACTTCATCAAAGCCAAGTGCTGGGCGTCCCAGTCCAAGAAAGAAAGTTATGCACTTGAGTGTTTAGTTGAAGCAGCTGCTACAACTTACCTGATGTCTATCGCTTATGCACACTGCTCTTGCACTGCTGGAGTTGCTGGCTCGTGCCATCATCTCGTCGCACTGCTCCTAAGCATCGAGCACTGTGCGAAGAAGCAGCAGGATGTACCAGCAGAGCAGACTTGCACAACTGAGAAGCAGGCTTGGGGTCCTCGGCCTCGTCAAGTTGTCGCACAGCCAGTTTCTTCACTCGTAATTGAAAAAGCGGATCCGTCGAAGAATATGGATGACATTCAGAGTGTCCGGCGAGCATCCTCACTCTATGAGGCGAGAGGTCCTTCAACCAAAGAGATTAAGTGTGAGGAACTTGATCGCCTGCTGGATGAGATCACCGCAACCGGCCGCAGGTACCCCATTGCAACTTTGCTGTCGCGTGGAGAGGAGGTGCACCAGTGTCAGTCCAAGGTGGGCGCTGTCCCATTCGGCTCAGTGCTGTGTTACCACCAGCTCGAGGGGGATAAAGTTGATGTGCCTCCAGCTAGAAAGCGACCATTTGTGGCGATAGCGGACCAACCGCAGCTGGTAGCGTGCAGCTCGCAAACAGCAAGTGATGATCGAAACACCACCTCAGAATCACCTGCCAGCCAACAACCTGCTGGCGCTGAGTGTTCTACCAGCCAGCACTTCTGTGATTTACCACTGCCGAAGTCTGCTAGGGAAGGTGATGAGTTTGCACGACCGCTACTCCATAGCAAAACCATAGCCATCGAGCGGCTCACTCGTAGTCAGGGTAGCAGTGAATTGTGGAAAAGACTGAGGAGAATCACCCTGACTTCTTCACGCTTCCACCTCGTAACTCACCGGAAGGAGGTGACAGATGCATTCGTGACGAGCCTCTTTCAGGACAAGGATTTGTCTCGAGTTGGAGCGGTTTCTCATGGAAGAGCCTGTGAGGATTTGGCCAGAAGGGATTATTTGGCAAGCAAGCAAACAATGTGCAACGCGGACTATGAGGTGCGGCAATGTGGTCTGGTCATCCACCCTGTTTACCAGTACATTGGTGCTAGTCCTGACGGCCAAGTCTATGATGGGTCCTGTCCAGCCGATCCAAATGGTTTGCTGGAGATAAAGTGTCCGCACACCGCTTATGGCGATGACTTAACCCCTGCTGAGGCCTGTTCATTGCCAGACTTCTGCTGTGAGCTTGTCAATGGTCAACCCCGACTCCGTGCTAGTCACGCGTACTACTACCAAGTTCAAGGGCAACTTGGTGTGTCTGGCTTATCTTGGTGTGACTTTGTCATCTGGACTGGGCCTCGTCGACTTTCCGTGGAACGCATCTTGTTCGACGATGAATTTTGGAAGAAGGATCTCCTTCCACGCCTGCTACAGTTCTGCTCATCCCATCTGAAAAAGGCCACGGAAATCTCTGCCGGCCAGGTTTTCCAGGATGATTGAGAACATTGCCTGGCAGCTGTTTGTGCACTTGAATCATTATTATTACATTTCATTCTTTTCTTCCCAGTTATACATGGTAATCTTGTAATGGGTTGAAATCGTAAAATACAGATCAAATGCAATAGCATGTAATTAGGCCTCAAACTGAAAGGAACCTGCAAGATAAAATTCGAATCATTTCAACTTCATGCGTATGGTTGTACAATACATGTATAATATATTCGCCGTTGTAGGTCCGTTGTGACCGTAATAACAATACCGGCAAGACTAACTTTATTCATTGAACTTATGTAAATATTGCAATCAAAATTATATCGTATCAAATTTTGTACAGAGGAAGTCATTATCTGCTCAGTAATATGATTGTGCATGACTGTTCAGGCATGACGAAATTCGTGTTGCTGAAGATTAATTCGCCATGCAATGCTAGCAACAGTTGGCATGGATAACTTAATTTACATCAGCAAGTAAAGGAGCCTGGAACAATGTGAGAAGGCAACAGACTGTCCATATCTGATTGATGATGGGGAAAAGAGTTGTTGGAACAATCTTGGAAAAGATGTTGAACTCCTTGATCCGCTCCATGAGACGCTCAACATGAATTCGTAACTTGGCGATTTGTTGCGTTTTCTGAACGTCTTCTAGGGCCATCTGGTGTCCTGATCGCTTGAACGGGGGAATGTTCAACTTGACGCCATACGGCACTAAAAGATCCTGGATGTCGAATCCTTTATCTGCCATAATCGATGTCCCATAGCCGGCTGCTGGGAGAAGATCTAGGAAGTGGCTTCTGATCGTTAGCTCGCGGTCACTGATAGATCCAGTGAACAACTCGGAGATGAACGCCACAGCACCATCTGGGGTCATACCGATGAGGCCCTTCAAGGTGGTATGTGTCTTGTACGAGCTGTACAGTTGGGACTGTGCAGGCAGACTGGACGTAACTTCGCATTTTAGCTCTGTGGCATCAATGATCAAGAATGTTGTCGGATACAGGTCCTTGAACACATCTGGCAATCGTTCTGACACTTGGGAAGGACGCGGCCAGATTGGAATCATTCCCAGTCGCAGGTACATGTAGTTGACCATTGTTGTGATGATACGACTCACAGTCCCAGTATCTATCAAGTACAGATCAGCCAGCATTCGGATGTCTGTGCCGCGGCGAAGACGAACCATGGTAAGGAAAAACTTCTCTCTCCAAGCCAACTTGCTCTTCCGTCCAGCACCGGGTTTCCTTTTCCGTGAGTCGGCATCCAAGGGTTTGCTGCGAAAGGAAATGACGCTCTTATCATCCAGGTGAAGAAATTGTTCACATGCATCAAATGCAGCAAGTGAAGGAAACCCAGTGTAGTACTGCATATCGGAGTCAGAGTCTTCAAACCGAGCTAGAGAAAATAGCTTCAGGCTGAAGTCGACTTGGATATCGTCGATAGCAGCCAGTGCTTCTTCAAGTTCGTCTTTTTGCTTGGCATTTTCCTTCGTCGTGGCTTTCAGCTTTGCAGCGTCTGACTTGGGCTCCTTTGCTACTTTAGGAGGAGGAGAAGCACCACGCTCGCGAGACTTTCTCTTCGTGGGCTTCTTCCATGCAAATACGCTTGGAACAGCAGTAGATTTCAGCCTTGCGCCCGACTTCTTTGTCCCTTGGACATAGTCTTCGTCCGTGAAGTGGTTAGAACACACCACTGTACTGTACGACATGATGGTAAACACACCGTCCCTCTCATCTCGACGGATGGCGGCAATCCAAGACTTCCTTGTGTCCAACTCGTCCCTGCTCACGCTTCTAGCTTCTCCAGTTTTTGTTTCTTTGCTACCAGGGAAGACGTGGAACAAAGTATTTTTGTCCGAACGTCGGTCGCTGTTGCACTGCGGAACGCAGCAGTGATCGCCTTTCCCCATGACTAGAGAAGCTGGGAAGATGTCCTACATAACAAAACTGAACACTTTACAAGAACCAGGCGGAGAATCTCCAGCGGCTGTTCTTTTATCTTCTAAAATGTCGAGCGCGATCGCTTGAAGAAGTTAGTTTCTGAAAGTAAAGGCACGAACAAAAATAGAAGGAAAAGTCACATTTACACGTGGGCGAGTACACGCCAAACGCGGTGATTGATCGTTGCGGTTCCAAAACAAGAGCTCGCGCTGGGAGGAATGGACTGCATGTATGGTGTGCCCGGGTCACGCATTCAGTACGCATGCCATGCCCCGCCAAGTCACTGCGTGTCTTATTTGGCAAAAGACCTATTAGGAATTGCCCGTAACTCACAACTTACGTACATTACTTACTGCATGCAAGGAAAGATCAAGTTTTATGCCAATCAATATGACTGTTTTCGGGCATTTTTCGTTGAAAAGCCATTTTTGTGATTCTAGATGGGTAAGAAAAGTGCCCGGTAGATGAACTTGCCCGGATTGGGGACGTCCGTATCTGTGGAGATTTACTGTATCAGTATCTCTATCTCAGCACTCACGTCGAGTAATTCTGCTGTATATTTGAGTAGGGTCCTCATTCCTCACCACATTCTACCTTTCATGCAATTGTTTTCAGTGTGTGAGTTGTGTTCCAATTCTCCACCGTGACAAATTGTGTTTTGTTCGCCCGTAAAACTGTATGATGATGTGTGTGTATTATAATGATGTGTGTGTGTGTGTGTGTGTGTGTGTGTGTGTGTGTGTGTGTGTGTATATTTGCCTGTCTCCTGCCTGTGTGTATTCGCTTGCAGATCACTGGCAGGGAAGAGCTGTTGCTAGGCAACTATCCATTAGTACAATACACGGTATGTCAGTTGTCACAGCATAACGTGATTAACACAATTACCATGCATCATTTCCCAGTACAATTGAGAGCTGAGATGCAAAACCCGCGAACCACACATAAAATGAATCATGTTTTGAAGTTTTTTGGTCAATATCCGAAAAGTGGTGAAATGGATTCAGCGGGTTTTGCATTCCAGGTCTTTAATTTAAAAAATGGTATTCTGCATCCAATGGCACAAATCAAGAGTACATGAAAACCAGAGTGTGCAGCTTGGTGCTTTTTCTACTATGGGTGTCTGTCACCGCGGCGTTCCGTGATTACATCTTATTTGGCGAAGATCTGAGGCGGGAAATGGCGCAGTGCGTACAACTAAGCTGCAGTTGTGCAGAAAGGGACCTACTTGAATCCTGCTTGTACGCACTGCATCACTAAAATGATGTAATCACAGAATTCCGCCGTGACAGCAACCCATCCGGGCTGCACACTCTGGTTTTCATGTACTCTTGTGCGTATCCATCCAAAAATGGCGGGTGGGTATTTCCCCTACTCTGGACAGACTGTGACCGTGGTAACACTGGGTTAGGACTGAACAGGGAAAAAACACCAGGGACTTTTAAAAGTCGCATCTTTTGAAGAAAGAAGTGGCGCTGGGTTTGGTCGGTTCATGTCGGGTCTTGACTGACGTCTAGTGTCAACCGAGCAGAGGAAACAGTTACTCTGTAACTCATTTTTTCCATTTTCCAACATTGTCTTGCCATGCATAATGCAACGTACAGGGGAAAACCCCCGACTTCATACCTGTGTGCCTTTATGACCCCTCTGTTAGTGGCTAGCCACCAGCATTATCTTTGATTTGCCTGAAAAACACGAAAATCGACAAAATTAGGGGGGGGGGCTCAATCACAGTAGGGTAGAGGGCACAGCCCCCTCCCCCTCTTTTGGCTAGAAACATGATGTTTACTGCTGAGGAGGCCATGGATCCCCGCAATGATCACACACAAACTGTATGAATGACTATGACAAACAACTGCTTCCGCCGGTCCTGTATGCGAAGCAATACTCACTCTATTATAATTCAACAAAAGTCTGTTGAAAACTTGAACGTAGGTAACCAACCCCCTCCGACCCAAGAACAAAAGAAAACATGATGCGTCAGTCTTACACAGACTCGCAACCACAGCAGTGTTAGAAAAATTAGTTATGCCGTTACAATTGCGTTCGAACAAGCTATTGGTCAGCCTGCCGGGATTGCTTCTGTGTTACTATCACTTCACAACCAGTGTGGGATAAATCAAGACAAGACGGGTAACAAGACCAGAAACGTGTCCCGGGACTGGTGACTGACACAAACTAACTTCACTCGAAATCCATGCAGCTCTCGTGTACATGTTGTCTTCATCTTGACGTTTCACCTCTCTTCAGCTCTGGCTATGTCCAGCAGTTTAGCGTCATGCTTCCGCGATGGGCACGTTGGTGCTGATGACCAACCGCAGTCGCCAGGGTGCAGTTTATCGTCGTACCCAGGGCGGGTTGCGGTGTGGTGACGTTGGCTACTGGCAGTGTTCCCTATCTCTGCCCAGGGTTCGGAATGTTAGCGGTACTGAACATCCTGGCGTGGTCGACTAATGTCGTGACCGGGGAGTGGGCCAGATGAACTATCCGGATTCTTCGATTCCCAGGTTCTTTATGGAAATATACCAGGAGTCCAGATACCCATTCCTCACCCCCACCGTGCCACACAAGAAGACCAAAGCTTCACTCTAGGACCAAGTTCCATCACACAACAGAGAAGGAACAACAACAACAACCAGCGATCGACGCAAAGCATCGAGCTATGTACTGCAAGTAGTAGCGTGCAAAGAGCGAAGCGAGCGAGCAGCCAGCAAAGCATGAATGGTGAGAGGTTCCACAACGCTATTCCTAGACGAACCACATCGACGCCACGGCAAACACTTGATTGGAGCAGAAATACAATGCAGATGATGTAGCAACACCCGCACACGACAGAACTATAGAACACATGTATTGGACATCTTCAGCCTGTCTTTATCTTCATCCTGGCACATGGGATGGAAATAGAGTTTGCACTTCAGGCAGGTCCTGAGGACTGGAGGGCTGCCTTTCTTGCAAAGTAAACACACCTCTTTAGCAGCAGATAGGGAAGGGGATGGTGAAGTGTTTTATACGTTCAATAGCCTGCTCCGCAGCTATCCTAACACCTGCAACCCGCCGTCTTTCAGTCTGCTCTTGGTGCTCCAGCTATTCATGGCCGCATACAAATACAGGGATGTTGACATGTCTGCCGTCTGCCATCAGGGCGGTAATGTCGAATCCCCGGTCTGCCATAATGGCATCACCAGGCTGTAGCTTGCTTAGGAGGCCGGATCTCTTCGCCAGCTCCTTATCAGATACGTGACCACCATAAATTGAGGACAGAAATGTAATCACCCCATTGGGGCTAACACCAACAAGCAGATTGAGTGTGTTGCGATTCTTGTAGTTAGACCATGTTGCTGCCTGCACATCTGGATTTTCCGGTTTTTCCAAGGGAAATTCTGTTGCGTCGATGATGATGTGTGTTGTCGGGAATTTCTCCCAGACACCCAGCATGTGTAGGTCAACTAAATCTCGGGATGACTACATGTTAGTCTCCTGGGACGTATGATACAGGCATGCCATCCAAGTTGGTAATATGCGCTTAACGGTCGCTTGCTTAATTGAGAATCTTTGGCCAAGATTGGACTCAGGACAATCATGTCTTAGCTTCATGAGTGTCAGGAGCAGTTCATTGTCAGTGCATGCTGAGGATACGGTGTCCTCACCACTGTGGTAGTCCTCCGGGCCAACTGTGCTGCACACCTTTGTCTTCACGGCGGACCCAACCCACTCCAACACGGCGCTGTACATAGTTGGGAGCGAGATCAGTATAGAATATAGCTGTCAAGGTCATTCTTGAGCTTGCGCAGCGAGAACTTTTGTGTCTCCGATTCCATTCTGGAATCGCCCAACATGTTCTCTAAACATTGAACCTTGGTCTCTTAATTCACTCAGCTTGCTGCTTAATTTGGGCCAGGCAGTGATCATTGACATATTTCTGCAAATAAGTTTCAAGACAGCGCTTCACGTAAACCTTGTGCCCATGCACCTTCTCTTCGCTTGGAAACACTCCCCACTTGCACCTGTCTTTCCAATAAGGACAGCACAGTCGCGGTGAAAAGCATTTCCAAAATGGAGGAACAAGAAATCGGAAAAAATAAAAACAAGCGTCTTCGCTTTTCACGTTTATGTAGGAGCGAAGCTCATGCATGCACGGCTGTTCTGTACCCGGCACTTAACAATATGGCGGCCTTTCCAAAGGTTCACGCGCGGGTTTCTCCAATTCGGCAGAATTTTGTAAATATAGTCGAAATTATAAAAATCAGTCGCATCAACCACGCGTGATTCGTGTTACAAGAGTAACATGAAGTACAGTTTCGAAAATTTGAATATTCGGTAGTTGTTCGGCAAGAAAAATAGATCAGAACAGGAACGAAGAGAAGTTGAAACAAGTCAGTACCAAGGGTTCTTACCTTCACTGCTTTGGCCTCTTGCTCTTGACAGGCTTGAGGGCGTCGTGTTCAGGTAATGTGCTTACAAGGTGCTGCTGAGATATTGCCTGCAGACGCTGAAGGTTGCTTCGAATCGAATGGAAATTGCGATGAAGACCGTTGAATTTTGCATGGATGCTCTCACTTCCTTGCTCGGCAAGAAGAGCGATGCCGACTCTAGTCTGCTTGATGGCGGGAACAGTGTGCTCTTCCAGCAGGTGTAGCTTGGGAGTGATGTGGCCGAGCTGACGCTGGACGACATGCGTGCGACAGAGACCAAGAAATTTCTCGACTTGCTGCTGCAAGGATACTATGTCTTGGTCAGTCACTTTCGCGGAGTGGTTGTAGAGAGACCTGCAGGCTGCATACGACTTCAGCAAAGACTGGTAACGGCGCTGGATGTCCTCAGCTTGTGGAAGCAGTGCTGGGTGCCGCTGGGTGATGACCAAGGCTGGACTGGAAGTCAGTGCAAGGATCACATCATCCTGCAGAGCTAGGTGTACATGATTCCCTACAAAAGCACCACCATGGTACGCCTGCCTGTCAATGCCACAGCGTTGAAGCACAGGATCAATGCTCTCTGAACATGGGCCAACAAAGTCCTTCTTGCCCTCAATTTTCAGTACCTTGGCCGCTACGCGCTGGTGCTCCGTTTCATGTGCATTGTGCTGGTTTTGCAGCTGCAGTAGGTAGCCCTGTACCTGCTGCACGACTGCTTCTTGTCCAGGTTGATCGGCTGTAGCAATCACCAGTGCCTGCAGATAGTGCTGCACAGTCTCGACTTTCTTCTGGCTGTCTGCCACGATTACTGCAGCTTGGCGCAGCTCAGCATGGAGCAGTGCAAGGTCAGCATAAACTCTACTGTCCTCTGGTGTTGCGGCAGCTACCTGAGCAAGCTTGGTATCCAGCTGACGCACCTCTGTCAGGTATGCCTCGAAGATCCATGGGAAAATTCCCAGATCCAAGTGAAGCGCTGGAATGATGACATGGTCGATCTCGATTGGCAGAATGACAGGTCTCAGCACATTGTTAAACTGTTTGACTTGAGCTGTGTTTGCTCCCGCACTGACGAATTTGGCGTGGTCGCTGGCCAGGGTTTCCAGAGTGCGTGGCGTACTGTCGCCATCTGAACGATCAGCAGTGGGCAGATCCATGCTCTTCTTCTGGCACACACAATAAAGACATGGACGTACTCCGCTAGCACCAGACAACCCATAGCACTTGGTTTGGAACTCGTAGTCCCCGAAAAAGAACACATCGAACGTCTTGCCATTCCACTGTACTTCTCTTTGAAGACGAACTATTTGTTCACTGTACATCTTTAGCATTGTATCGAGGTTGGCAAACGTATCATGACAGCTGAATGTGCAGATCGGTATGGTGTTGTCCAGAGAATTTGGCTTGTGTCGGTTGGCTACCTGCATGACGAATTTGAAGGATCCACCGCCATGATCGCCGCCGAGTTTGAGCCAAATCTTGTCTGCTGGGATAATTCCAGCATGCCAAGTCAGCTGGTCATGCTCTTCAAACATATCAAGGTAGTGAGTAACTATATCCACTAGATCTGGAAAGTATACTGCACTTGCCATGATGACGTCACCATTACGCTTCGTCAAGGGTACCTCCTTGGCGATGTACTCTGGAAGCGTATGCGCAATGTACGTCCGTGCTGTTCGCTCGGATTCCAGCTGTACGCCGAAGTCATTGAGCCACCGCTTCATCTTCCTGATCTGATACCACGGTAGATTCATATCAGCTTTGATGGCCAACAATGTTCCGCTCTTTGGTGAATTGGCTGTGATGCCTGCCTCAGCCAAAAGAAGCTGTCGTTCAGCTTTTGTCAGTCGTTGTAGCCCAGCGACCTGATGAGCACGGGCACCATCAGGGCCACCGCAAACAGTCTGCTCAATCCTCTCCAGTACTTCTCGCCGCCGCTGAGCTGTTCGAACACTTGCTTGCGTGGACGACACATTTGGAGCTGCTATTCTAGCGAACAACTGTGGCTTTCCATGAGCACTGCTTCTGAGCTCCAGCATGCCATCTTGAACTCTCGGTTCGACCATGCGATACGTGAGCTCATCAGCAAACTTGCCCCTGAGTTTCGATGGTGATGCTCTTGTAATGTCATCTGCTGATGATGCTGGCATTACTGTTCGAATTGGTGTGCTCTGTGTCCCTGGGCTATGCTCGCATTTCTGCACATGCTGACGCAACTGTGATATTGGCATCACCGCTTGACAGCCATCCAGTGCTGGCTTATGGAAATCACACCGCACTGTCCAATTTGCAATCACCCGCTGTAGAACTTTGGGTGGCCGTGTTATGCTTGTCTCACTCATACTTGAATCACAGCTAGGACATACTGGTGTGTCGTTGTCGCTCAGCCATGCACACACACAGCTACTACACAGCAGCTCTTCGCAGCATGTTGTAAGAACTGCCCCATCCACGATCTTTTCACAGATCTTACACTCCTGTACTACATTCTGGTCCACGAAACGAGTTCTTACTAGTGGCTTAACGGCACTGAATACTGGTGTTGCATTGCTTGTTATGCTGTCTTTGTTGACGGAGCGAGTGCATGCTGGAGTGGTGGTACTTGCTGGTGTAGATGGAGTGTGAGGTGCTGATATGTTTGCTGCACTTGTGCTAGCGTCGCATTCAGCTGAGCGACTAGTTGTACTGGACGATTTACGCTTTGAGGGACGGCCACGTTTGGTTTGCTTAAACGATGAACATGTTTGGCAGTTGGTGCGGTGATGGGGGTGCCATGCACTTACAGGAGTACAACCACCCGATGGTTTTGCTTGTGGTCGACTCAGAACCCGTTGACAGTTGACACATAAGTACTGAGGGTGAACTTGTGGGTCATCTGTCGAAATATTGATGCAGAATTTTGACCAAAGCTGGTCTTTGAATTCGCTCGCAGGGTATTTGGTGGACTGGCTACACGACGTGAACTTTTTGCCACCCACACGACAGATCTGGTCCAAAAACGCAGCATGCTGGTCCATAATGTCAGAAAACCTGTTGGAAACGTGTGGGAGAAAAGTGGATTGTATAGGTGCTTAGGAAAACTGTATTCGAACGAACTTTTGGCAGTGGGTAGATCGATACTTACCATGTCCAGGAAAAATACTCGTTTGTCGCTGAAAAATCGGTACAGCAAGGAAGACGCTCTGTTTTGGAGTGGTGAGAATGTCCACCACGAAAAAGTCGTAGCAAGAACGAAGTCGGCAAAAATGGCTGAAACAGCAACAAGAAAGCTGGAATGGTCGAGTGTGTGGTACCAACGCGAAGCTAAGTTTTCCGCGGATCGAAAACCGGGAGTTTCAGGTAAACCAGGTCGAGTAGGAACGAATAAGACGGTGATTTGGATGGCGAAATGTCGTACTTCGACGTCCATTCTCAGTGTCTTCTCAGTGCAACATTTTGAAAATTTGAAAATTCTGTGATTTTTGCCGTTTTGAGAAGTGGCACGGATTCGCGAAAAAAAACAGCCGTGAAAAATAAAAACAAGCGTCTTCGCTTTTCACGTTTATGTAGGAGCGAAGCTCATGCATGGGTCACTAGTGAACACGGACTGCATGCGGACACTGGTCAAAGACTTTAAAAAGAGCGCCGCGCGTACAGTCGAGTGACAAACAAACTGGCTCAAAGCATGCTGTGTACTCCCCTGTGTGGCGCAGTGTCCCCGCAGTCTTATCCGCAGGAGTTTGATGCATGCGTGCCATTCTGACTGTGTGCATGTTTGTATGTGTGTGCGTGTGTGTGCGTGTGTGTGCGCATGTGTGTGCATGTGTACGCGTATGCATGTGTGTATGCCTGTGTGTGTGTGTGTGTGCCTGCGTGCGTGCGTGCATGCATGTGTGTGTGTGTGTGTGTGTGTGTGTGTGTGTGTGTGTGTGTGTGTGTGTGTGTGTGTGTGTGTGTGTGTGTGTGCGTGTGTGTGTGTGTGTGTTGTGTATAATTTGCATATGTACATTCTCTTCTCGTGACTTCAGTACATTCGCCGCTGTCTTGCCAAGGCTGTGCGGCCAGACTTGGTGCTGCTGTTGAAGTCTGACATTCAGTTCTATGGGGATCTTGATCGCGTTGTCTATCCAGCCACGACACCAGCACTGCCAGATCGGTCTTACATCAATAACGGTACGCTTCCAATCCACTGGGATTCTGTGTTCGGTTCTGTTATGTAAGAGTGGCTTGTTATGTGTTATAGACTATAGTATCACTGGGGTACAGTGCAACATTGCCTGTTGTGTGCGTGTGTGTGTGTGTGTGTGTGTGTGTGTGTGTGTGCGTGCGTGTGTGTGTGTGTGTGCGTGCGTGTGTGTGTGTGTGTGTGTGTGTGTGTGTGTGTGTGTGTGTGTGTGCGTGTGTGTGTGTGTGTGTGTGTGTGCGCGTGCATGTGTGCGTGGGTGTATGCGTGCGTGCGTGTGTGCCTGCGTGTGTGCGTGCGTGCGTGTGTGCATGTGGGTTGTTCACCAATAGATGAGACTGAGACGTCGCTCTGGAGCATCGGCAACCCGCTAGTCTTCAAGGTGGTGCGTGCCGATAACTTAAACACTGACAACGAAAGTCTGGTACGTTGCGAACACCGAATCAAGTTCTGATAATGTATAAAATCCCTTTACGACATTGATATTCACAATGTCTACATTTCAACACCAAATACAGCAGAACCAAACTTTTCAGTAGGTCGGCCAAAGTTTCTGCCTGTAATTCACAGCGAAACCATTTTTTTGGTTAGAACATATTTGAAAAGAAGTTTGGGTGGACACACCCATTCCAGTCTCACTGCAAATCTGAACCAATTCCATTCTTAAACAACGTTTCGGCACATGGCCATCATCAGGTAACTGAACAATGATACTGTGCCAGCTACAAAAAGTAGAAGTTTATATACATATTTGAAAACAATGAAAACTGATCGAGCATGCTATACAAGAGAGAGGGAGGGAGGGGGGGGGGGTTGTGGTATGTTTTTGGTTAGCTTCCAGCATATCTTTGAAGTTGAAACACGTAGCCTTTAGTCCACATTGCTTGTATGGTGTATCTAGTGGATGTGAACAGGCAACCTTTCATCCCACCGGAACTTGTAAGTGTGTGTGTCATGGGCGTCGTATCGTGGGAGCAGTGCGTTGCCAGTCTGGGTGCTCACATGTTTGTCGAATGGGTTGTGGTAGCACCCAATTTCTTTGGGAATCTTGTGTGTGTGCGTGCTCCGCAGGTCCGTGTTCATGTTGGCATATACCATGGTAACGAAGCACTGTGCTCCATCGAACGATCCAGACCAATGAGTGTTAGCAATCAGGTACGTGCATTTATTCATTTAGACTTTATTTGAACGATTCTCCAGAAGTAAATGAATACTTATTGGGCGAGTTTAGGTGCAGACAAACACTGACAAATATCTGCGAGTTTGATGTCTGAACCAAAGCTCCAGATCCACAGGCACAGGTGTGTAGCTGGTCCCCCTTTGGCCGCATATTGGTAGGATGGCTGGTGTATGTCATTCTTGGTCATTATGAGCATGCTGATCCTATATGTAGGTCAAACAATTTAGGGGATCTACGTGCCCCCCCCCCCCTCCCCCCGTGCACCATGCTGGCTACGCGCCTGCAGGCAGGTGTTTTGCATCGCTAACTGTACTCCAGTCAGCGGTACAGAACATGTAGACCTGGAGCCCTGGTTTTTACATCATGCCGTTTATTTTACTTCCACGAATAATTCCCCTTTTTCCCACTTTTAAGTGGTGCCCCAGTATTGAGCTCTCTGCCATAGTATAATGTCAATAGATTCACATAAGTAATAGGTGATGCTAGGTTGTAAGTCGCACCAACATTTTTGCATTCCCGTTTTGTGTGTAAAAAAAAGAGTGTAACATCTATTCGGGGAAGTCTCTCGTGTTTCTGGCATTGCGGCTCTTCCAATCACACTGCCCATTTTGTGATTCTACGCAGGGTGTGTCTTGGAATGAGAATATTCATTTCTCCGAGCTACTGGTGAAGGACATCCCGCGCAGTGCACGCCTATCCCTGGTCATCTACACGATCCGAAAAACCAAGCGAAACAAGGCCAAGGAGGTAAGGAAGAATTGATGTCCAGCTAATTCCAATGCAGGTTGTGTCCCTCACATCCAGTCAGGAACTACAATGGTCACCAGGGTCTTGTGGCTAACACTGATCTCATAGGAGAATGGTCATAGTCAACATAGTCTCCAGGTGATTACATCATAGTCTCCAGGTGATTACATCATAGTCTCCAGGTGATTACATCATTGTCTCTTGATGGTTACATCATTGTCTCCAGGCGATTACTGTAAAACCGGAAAGTCTAACGACCAAAAAGTTCAACATTTTTTTGTAATTTTGGCATGATTACGTGCAGAAAGTTAAACGCTGGCTACCTAGCCACCCATCTGTATTCGCATCTTTACACAGATATCTAGCGATAACGTTTTTTTCCAATAACGAAAAATAATTGGTCGTTAAAACTTTAGACTTTGTGACTCGTTAGACTTTCCGGTTTTATAGTACATCATAGTCTCCTGGTGATTACATCACGGTCCCCTGTGATTACATCATACTCGCCTGGTGTTATTATCATACTCTCCTGATTGCCTGATGATTGCGAAAGCATGAAACTTGAGTAGCAGCAAGTAAGCCTTGATTGCCCTTGATGTTCTGTAGTCTCCTGATGGTAACATCAGCGTATCAACCTTCGGAGTAGAGATAGGTTAGGCTTCAACTACACTGAACTCTATTTGCGCTGTGTTATCTATGTGTATCTTCCTCTCCTAGTCCAAGAGGGTCTGCAGTGGGCCAACCTGCCACTGTTTGACTATCAGCATTGTTATCTTTGTGTGTGTCTCCTCTGCCCCTAGTCCAAAGTTGGTCTACAGTGGGCCAACCTGCCACTGTTTGACTATCAGCATTTTTATCTGTGTGTGTGTGTGTGTATGTGTGTGTATCTTCCTCTCCTAGTCCAAAGTTGGTCTACAGTGGGCCAACCACCCACTGTTTGACTATCAGCATTTTTACCTGTGTGTGTGTGTGTGTGTGTGTGTGTGTGTGTGTGTGTGTGTGTGTGTGTGTGTGTGTGTGTGTGTGTGTGTGTGTGTGTGTGTATGTGTGTGTATCTTCCTCTCCTAGTCCAAAGTAGGTCTGCAGTGGGCCAACCTACCACTGTTTGACTATCAGCGCCGCCTACGCACTGGCATGGTCATACTGCGATGCTGGCCATGGGAGGGGGCACTGTATGATGAGCTAAACCCCATCGGCACCACCACACAGAATCCCATCGAGAACTGCACCACCGTTGAGCTCGAGTTTCCGAAATTTGGCAAGCCAGTGGTCTTCCCCTCGCTGCCAAAGGTATGTCATGAATTACGTTGCATGAATGCATCACAGAAAGTTCGTCCCCAGCCATGAATTATGAACTGAGACATTCTGTTTATTATTGGAGTAATCACTATGTCTTATCATTGAGAGGTCATGAAGACCCCCCCCCCCCCCCACACACACACATACCCAACCCCTCACTTCTTCACACGCTGCATAACCATTATACCGAATACGGTATGTGTCAAAATAAGTACCCAAGACTGGTGAAAGCAGCACACAGGTCTGCAAGCGATCTACCCTTATCAGTTATCAGTCACTGATCCGTGTGTGTCTCTCTCTCATTCTCTCTCTCTCTCTCTTTCATTGTGCCTTGCCTTTCTTGCGACCGTGCAGGTGTTGGAGAAGGCCTCGCAGTGTGCCAAGGCAGCTGGAGAGAAGCAAGAGAGTTTCATGACCGCAGGCGTAAGTAATGTGTGCACGAGTTGTGTTCTTTCGATGGCCCGATATGGTGAACACAACGAGTGAGTTTTGGTGGCTGGGTTTGGTTGACTTTAAGTAAAACAACCAAAACAACCAGTCTACAGATACTTGGCGTATAAGCTGACGTTGTTTCATTTTCCTTCATCACGTTTTGATGTTTCCCTTTCTCTTGATGTCCGTCTCCAGCAAGAACGCAGAGAACTCTGGACAATTGTGCAAAGAAAATTAACACATTTATTGCATTCCCAACTCATCACAACCACGCGCTCTCAGCCGAACCATACAGACACCAGCAAGGACACTTCCGTTGCACTAAATTGGAAATATGGCCGAAAGCTCTGTCGCTATATTTAGTTCTAAAATTAACACATATTTTAATTAATTGAGATGTTCGAGTGCTTTTGACTCACTATAGAGTAGCAGGGAGCTGTAATGTTTCGAAATGTGCGATCTTCACATGTCCATTGGGTAGTAGCAAGGACATCTAAGATTCAAAGTGTGTGGAGGAAAACTCAACTCCAATCCGTGAGCAGTGGATTGGCGTGTGCAGCACTAGTCAATGCTGCTCTATATGTATTCTGGGAATGTGGTGAATAACTTCTTGTGTGTTCTGTGTCTCTGTTTATGGGTGTCTGCACGTGTGTGTGTGTGTGTGTGTGTGTGTGTGTGTGTGTGTGTGTGCGTGCGTGCGTGCTCGCATGCTCGCATGTTTGTGCATGTATGTATGTACGTATGTATGTGTGTGTACGTGTTTGTGTATGCGTGTGTGTACGTATGTGTGTGTGTGTGTGTTCCATTGGTGTGACCCTGGCCGTACAGAGAACGCAGAGCAAGTCCATTGCCAGTGAACTACTGATCACTATCAAACGAGATCGTCTCTATCAACTGGAGGAGCAAAACAAGGAGATTCTATGGAGGTTTCGGTGAGTACTGCAAAGTAGTGTTGAAACGATCTCACCGGGTACTCGTTAGCTCGTTCGCCAGAAACTTGGCTCGTTTGTGCGGCCAGCTCGTTTGCACTAACGAACACCGTACACCGTAATCCGTACACATGGCAGTACAAGTCGAGCGGGGAGTCGGATAACTTTTTACGACTCCATGGTCGATCGAGAGTCCAGTCCCGCGCAAAGTGAAAATCACTCGCAGTTACAGTGACTGCATGCCGCTTGCATGACACTGAGTTGTTTCAGTTGTCATTGCAGCTTTGGTGGACTCCACTGATGTATTGTTCCGCATCTGCTGACCTGCTGCAGGACAAACTTCTGTCAACTCTTAATTCGAGTGAAAGTTACGCTCAGTCGTTTGGAAGTTTTCTCCCGCAATGCAGCGAAGAACAGGGCTACAGTCTTTGCAAAACGGTACAAAGGCTGCTCAATGACGGCGCTGAAAAGACATCTCGACACTAAACAGCAGTCCGAAGTGAAGCAGCAGCAACCCCAAACGCCGGCGGTGATAATTTGGACCAGCTGAATTGGAAAAAGTCGAACTTAGGAAAAAAAGATTTAAAAAATCATTATTTGCCACATCAATGAAACTCGTTAGCTCGCTCGATAGCTTGCTCGTTAGTGGCACTGATCGCTCGTTTGTTATTGATACGCTCGTTTCAACACTACTGCAAAGTGCATTGAACTCTGTTCAATCCCAGAGTGCCCTGCAAGGTATGGCAGGTGAGAAGAGGATTCCGAGGGCCCAGTACTCGGCCGACCCTAGTGATGGTCTCGGCTTCACCTGCCTGCCTGCCCGCCTGCCTGCCCGCCTGCCTGCCTGATTTTCTGTATCCCTGATAAAGCTACAATGTCCAGTACAGTAACATTAGTTATGTTGCTGGCTCAGTGTATGTGCCATGACTTTTCCTTGGAATCAAAATGCCAATCTCAAGTGTCCCCAGTCTCTATGAACTATGAACTCACTCTCTATGAACTAGAAGTTTAACTAGATTCTATGTTACTGGTAATGGGTGCAGGCTGGATTTCCGCCTCATTTTCGAGACATTGTTAAACTATGCATTTGAGCAGAATGTGATATCTATCAGCTGTGTATGATCCTTAAAATAGCACCTGGTTGTGTTCCCCCCGCCAGCCTTTCCACTGCCCTGATCAGTTTGCACAGCCCCCCCCCCCCTCCTCTTGCTATTGGCTCTACAGGGAAACCTGTCTGAGACCACTTCAAACACGGTCTCTGTTACCAGGTGGTCTCCTTCTCCAGGGTCGTTTGACTGGAAATAGCATCCCATTATCCTGGTTTCAGTGGTCTTCTGGGACAGGTGGTTGCCTTGACAGGTTTCACTGTGTGTTTGTTCTAGCTGTATGTGGTTTGTGTATGGTTTGCTCTGCGTCAGTCTGAACTGCATGGATCACCCGCACTCGCTTCCAAAGCTACTGCAGGCGGTCAAGTGGTCGTCCTGTGAGGATGTAGCAATTGTAAGTTTGCTAACTGCTGTCTCACAAGCTGTATGGTGTTCTGCTATCGGTATGACTGCTCAGAGAGTGAATATATTTAAATGCATAGGCATCCCTTGCACCACACGGCTCGTTTGTACATTTTTTCGTGTCTCTGTTCTTTAAGTGTATCCTCCATGGCTGGTATCATGGGATATGAAAGCGTAACACTCTTTCATGGTCCGGTATAACAGGCCTAGCACTAGCTCATGGGGGATGGTGCGGCCCCGGGCGTAGCACTGTTTTCATAGAATTGGATGGTGAAGGTGAAGAGAAATGAAGGAACGTATCACTTGGTACGTGGATTTGCCTTCACGGACGACTTTAGAAATCACTCAAGGTCCAAATACTGTAAGTCTTCAAATTTTCGGCCCATTCAAATTTCGGCCTCCCATGGCTAAAACCCATTTCGGCCCATTCAAATTTCGGCCTCCTATGGCTAAAACCCATTTCGGCCCATTCAAATTTCGGCCTCCCAGGGCTAAAACACATTTCGGCCGTATCAAATTTCGGCCTGTACTACTGCCACCTGTCACACTGAAACTCGCAAAACAAAATTTCTGTTGCAATAATGTTTTCGGCCAAAAACATGACCAGGCCGGAAATAAATATGCGCCGAATATTGGTTGACTTACAGTTGCGGGTTTAGCACGCTATCCATTCCGTGATGTGGGAGTCAATCTCTCAGTGCATCAATCATGTTATCTGTCTGAATGATATTTGCTTATAGATCCTGGCCATGCTGCAGGGCTGGCCGACCATTGAACCGGAGGCAGCACTGGAACTTCTCGACTATAGCTATACTGATGAGAATGTCAGAGACTTTGCTATCAAGTGTCTGGACACATGCAGGTGTCTGGACACATGCAGGTACAGTAGAAGTAGAACACCGTTTAGTCTCCATATCTCTGCTATCCCAACACCACCGGAATCCCGTTTACATCTCCCATCCCAATCTCCCCCCCCCCCCCCACACACACACACAACTCTCCCATCCCGATACCTCTCCTATCCACACATTTTTTTTACTTCCTCAGGCGGCCACCTTCAGAGTGTAGACAAGGGTACATTGTAAGTGGCTCCCCAGCCATCTGGGCTCTGTATGCCTGATATGGTGGCCTGCTACAGTGACATAATGCAATGGACTAGTACTGGTCGAAATTGACAGAGCTGCCTGCTGGCCAATAAAATAAGTAAATTTCACGGTTCGCGTGAGACTCGGCTGGAAGCCGAGTTTTCTGCATCCGCCGTGGGAACGCCACCACCCTCTAGTATCAAAGCCTGGTGGCCAAGCATGTCATGAAACAAGTGTTCCTCACCTTGAAGGCATATGCCGGTGGTTTAACCGTTATAAGCTGTTATTTTCGTGCGTGTGAGCTTAGCTCTTCTTCTCAGTGTCAGGCTGTGACCCAAACCCCTGCCATACTGAATTGCTAGAGACAGGTTTATCATTGCTAAGGACTTGCTTGCTACCTTGTTAATCCGGCGCCATTGTGTTGACTTGAAAAGTAATGGTGCGAAAGGCCTAGTCGAAACTATGATATGGCTTCTATGCTTCGTGTGCTCATTGCCTAAGACTGGACACAGATAATCATGGTGCCTGGCTCGATATTTGATAGTGCTTTTTTCTGCATCTGTTTGCTTTGTGTCCGTGTGATGGCAGTGATGAGCAGCTGTTGACATATCTACCACAGCTGGTGCAGGTATGCTGGAAACTCTTGTGTCTTGTCATCTGATTTCACTCTGGTTTTTGTCAGATACCTTACTGTCATGGCCAGCAATCGAGGACATCTGAGAGTTGTAATTTTTGTACTCCTCCGAGGTGTGATTTTTGGCGTGCTGGGCCAAGCACAAGGAAGCCATCTGCAAAAAAACTGCAGAAAATGGTTGTTGTTTGATCCTTTGGTGTAATCTTTGTTTCTAGTCGAAGCTAGTTGCTGTTAGGAGCAGAAACGCCTAAATTGACTATTTTCTGCATGTACTCATACATGTACTCATGTACTCAGTCATGCAGTTTCACTCGTATTTTAGCTCTTTTTCTGGAATGGATGCTGCTCTGCGCCCCTTGGTGAACATTTCCTGCGCTCGTGGAGCAGCTGAAAAGGACCACTGGTATGTCTGGTTCCTGGTTTGAAAGTGGAGAGTCGACTTTTGTGCCTTGAAAAAGCAGTAGACAGCGATAAAGGTACGTCTGTGGCTTATTTTTCAGTACTCCTCGTACATTTTTGATCGTGATAGAAATTCTCAGACCAAAGTCAGACCAAAGTCAGCGCGATGATGGCCATACAGTTTTCTTGTGGATTTTTTAGTTGTTTCATCTCGTATCTATGTCAGTATCGTGATGGTGAAGTGGAGAGGGTGATTTTCTTCCTCTAGGCTTCGTTCGGCCGACTTTGCTTCGTCCTCGTTGAAAAGTGATCCTGAAAAAAAGGTCGATTCGCAAAATTATGTTGATTTTCAATGTACGTGATGACATGCGATTGCTGGCTATGTTGATAAATATGTCACTACAATTTAAAAATATCACACTTTGCAATAATAACACTGAGAACAGGGGTGTCGTAAGGTACTTTAGCGTGGTATGGTCGGCCACCTGAAGTACAATTTACTCGTGGGTGGGGGGTCGTGGCTGAGCTGAAAGGTTTTGGAAATTTAGATCCCGGATCAGTAGTGACCGTACCGCGTCCGACGCCCGAATGACACACTCCAAAAAGTATGTCCTTGTTCTCAGTGTTCTTGCATTCTTGTCTCCAAGGAAGATGTTCACGTAATTGAAATAATAAAGGAGGAGATATCAAAGGCAAGCATACCATTGATCACAGAAGCAACCCCCCACCGTGATTGTCCTGTGTGATCTCTGTGTGCTGGTGTTCAGGTGCTGAAGTATGAGTCGTATCTGGACTGTACACTGGGCCGGTTCCTGCTGAGGAGGGCCCTGGTCAGTCGACGGCTCGGGAACTTTCTCTTCTGGTTCATGAGGTACGTGTTGTATCCACGATCACAAATATGTTCACTCGAGATGCACTGATGACGAAAGGCTGTGAAGCTTGGCCAGCCCAGCCAGACAGCTGCTGCATGTGATTATTCTAAATGCATCGCTGTCCACTTTCTCTCTCTCTCTCTCTCTCTCTCTCTCCTTCTCTCTCTCTCTCCTTCTCTCTCTCTCCTCTCTCTCTCTCTCTCTCTCTCTCTCTCTCTCTCTCTCTCTCTCTCTCTCTCTCCTTCTCTCTCTCTCTCCTTCTCTCTCTCTCCTTCTCTCTCTCTCTCTTTTCTCTCTCTCTCTCTCTCTCTCTCTCTCTCTCTCTCTCTCTCTCTCTCTCTCTCTCTCTCTCCGCGTACAGGGCGGAAATGCACACACCGGAGGCAACACGCTATGGGTTGCTGCTGGAGGCCTACTGTCGTAGCAGCGTGTCTCACATGTGTGAGCTGATAAGTCAGATTAATGCCATGGATCACTTCAACACTGTCTCCATGACACTACAGGGTGAAAAGTATGAGGTAAGTCTGGAGATGACGGTCTCATGCTAGAAGAATATATAAATGCATAAATTTCAGTCAGACTGTCTTTGCAGCGCAGAGTGAAACCAGTCTATGGCGCTCGCACAAGACTTCTTACAAAAATATGGTTGCCGTTTACAGGTGGTCTTCTTATCCAGGGTTGTTTGGATGGAAATAACATCCCTTGGTCTTTGTTGTAGTGGTCCTTTGGGTCAGGTGTTTGCCTTCTCAGAGTGCCCGCCTTTTACACACCAGATCAGCCAAACAACGTTGGGCGGAATTTTCGTCTCCGCTGTGAACTGAAATGTCTGGATTTGTTTGTTTTATAGTAAAGAACAAAGGACCAAGAAACTACAAGTTATGCTTACGTTACGTTTGTTTTGTGTGTATTTCAGAAAAAGGCGGCTAAGTCGTTGAAAGAGCCTGCATGTGAACTGCTACAGGCTGATGGCAAAGAAGAGCTGTGTCGAAACTTCTTGTCACCGCTCAATCCATCAGTCAGACTTGGTCCTCTCTTGTGTGAGAATGTGAAGGTGTTTGACAGCAAGAAGCGGCCATTGCTGCTCAGGTTCCAGAACCTGCAGGAACACAATAACTCCGGTTTGAAGGAGACCGGAATCATCTTCAAGATCGGTGATGGTAAGCTCATGCTGACACTACAGCAAAACACACACACACACACTTCTTACATATGTACAGTAAATTTTGTAACTAAAGACCACCGTGACGAGCGACCAGCCTTGTACTACAGACCACTTTGCCAGGCACGGACGGTCTCACATTCCATTATGGTTGTGCGTTGCAAACCTCTAACTAAAGACCACCTGCCACTAAGGACCGCTTTCTCTGGCCCCGAGGGGTGGTCATTAGTCCCAGGCTTTACTGTAGTTCAAACATACCAACGTGCACAGTTAGGTTGGGTTGCCTCCAAAGAAAGTTCAGACCAGAGTACGTATATTTATAGTTATAGTAGATAAACCTCTGCTAACATTAAATTATATTGCAAAATAGTGGACGTGAACTCCGGTGTGGGGAGCGAACTATTTCTTATTAAATTATGTTCCCGAGAGAAGTACTGGCTAGTTCAATGATGTTCATTATATTTCAAAAGTGGGTTGTACTGTATCCTCATGTTTTGTCTGATGCATAAACTGACACCCTTGCAGGGTCTGGGGCCTTTCAACTGAGCAAGCTGTCCTGCATTTTTGTGCTGTGTTGCAGTGTTGTGCTGTGTTGCAGTTTTGTGCTGTGTTGCAGTTTTGTGCTGTGTTGCAGTTTTGTGCTGTCCTGCAGTTTTGTGCTGTGTTGCAGTTTTGTGCTGTCCTGCAGTTTTGTGCTGTCCTGCAGTTTTGTGCTGTCCTGCAGTTTTGTGCTGTGTTGCAGCGGTGTGCTGTGTTGCAGCGTTGTGCTGTGTTGCAGCGTTGTGCTGTGTTGCAGCGTTGTGCTGTGTTGCAGCGTTGTGCTGTGTTGCAGCGTTGTGCTGTGTTGCACTGTGGCTGAGCTGTACGTTGTTCCCCGATTGAAAATGAGTACTTGTACTGGCTTTCACACCCTCCCAGCCCATACTAGTATTCCTGCATCCATGCCCCCCCCCCCCCCCCACACACACACATACACGGGTACACGCTTACACACCACCCACATCCACATACATACTCGTACACATACATACTCGTACACGCACATGCTTTCCAGAGGTGTTGAACGTGGTCTATAAGCAGCATTATGTTACTATCAACCACTGTCTATGGTGATTTACCTGTTGTGTGTTTGCGTGCAGATCTGCGTCAGGACATGCTCACCTTGCAGTTGCTGCGTGTCATGGAGAGATTGTGGCAGGCAGAGGGACATGAGCTCAGGTAAACAATGCATGGACTACAGTACTCCTCCAAGAAATCCGATCGCTTTAGTCCCGCTAGCGTCCTGCACCACCAGTGCACAGGCCTGTTTTTACAGGTCGAGGGCTGCACAGCGATCGGTGTCCACTTGATTCATGCAATCAGATAATTATCATTGAGCAGCAGCACAGCCACTGTAGTAGCAAGTGAAGAGAAGAGCGGTGATGAGTGCGAATGGTGGAAGAGCATTAAATGGGATATCAGGCATCGTTTTTCTTTTCTTTTTTTCTTTCATTTCACCATTGCGAGACACCAATAGGGAAGATTGATGAGTATGATAATATCACTAGTAGTCAGAAACAGCTAAATGGGAATTATCTGTAAGAGGTGATGAACAATAGAATCAGATGATGAATGATGGTTGTGGTCGTCACACTATTTGGAGATCCTGCCAATGGAAGTGGTTTAGATTTGCAAGGCTATGGGAATGGATGTGTCCACCCAAGAATTTTCATTCAAGCCCAACTGTGTGCTGACACTTTGAATTGATCATGCCTGCACTGTTCTCTGTGACTCGTATCTTGCACACGTCGCAGAATGAATCCGTACGCCTGTCTCTCGATGGGTCTGAACATCGGCATGATTGAGCTTGTTCCCAACTCAGCGACCATTTCCAACATCCAGAAAACGTCAGGCAAGACTGCAGCTGCTTTCGACAAGACCAACATTTGGAAATGGTTGAAGGAAAACAACGTAAGAGCGAGAGAAGTTAACCTCGTGGCATCCTTGTCCATGTCACACCTCATCGATTTGTGATACCGTAATGTCATGTATTAAAAGCCAGGCGTATTCCTGTTGAAGCCGATGTCGGGGCTAGGCTTCTATTCACATCAGGCTTCTATTCAAGACAGGTATTTCTATGTATGTCAACACTAAAACCAGGCGTATGTGCCGACAGTGTATCTTGAAAAACACACTACAGTACTTCTCATTGCGGAAGGAAGTTGGTGAAGACTTGCGCAGGATGTCTGTGGAGTGTATCAAAATACAAGTAGTAACATGTTTACCAGGTCTGCTCATTGTGATTGGAGAAGATTGCTTGCAATCGTTTTCTGCGTTCTTGTTGCCGTCTCTTCAACTCCTCAATCCTAAGGAAGTGCACATGTGTGTGTGTGTGTGTGTGTGTGTGTGTGTGTGTGTGTGTGTGTGTGTGTGTGTGTGTGTGTGTGTGTGTGTGTGTGTGTGTGTGTGTGTGTGTGTGTGTGTGTGTGTGTGTGTGTGTGTGTGTGTGTGTGTGTGTGTGTGTGTGTGTGTGTGTGTGTGTGTGTGTGTGTGTGTGTGTGTGTGTGTGTGTGTGTGTGTGTGTGTGTGTGTGTGTGTGTGTGTGTGTGTGTGTGTGTGTGTGTGTGTGTGTGTGTGTGTGTGTGTGTGTGTGTGTGTGTGTGTGTGTGTGTGTGTGTGTGTGTGTGTGTGTGTGTGTGTGTGTGTGTGTGTGTGTGTGTGTGTGTGTGTGTGTGTGTGTGTGTGTGTGTGTGTGTGTGTGTGTGTGTGTGTGTGTGTGTGTGTGTGTGTGTGTGTGTGTGTGTGTGTGTGTGTGTGTGTGTGTGTGTGTGTGTGTGTGTGTGTGTGTGTGTGTGTGTGTGTGTGTGTGTGTGTGTGTGTGTGTGTGTGTGTGTGTGTGTGTGTGTGTGTGTGTGGGCGCGTGTGTGGGCGCGTGTGTGGGCGCGTGTGGGCGCGCGGGCGGGCGGGCGGGCGGGCGGGCGGGCGGGCGGGCACGTGCAGGTGTGTGTGTGTTTGTGTGTGTGTGTGTCCCATATGGTGCAGTGGTATGTGCAGTCGATTTCCAATCGAGAGGTTGCGGGTTCAATTCCCGACGATCATGGTCGCACACGTTTTTCTTCTCTTTCTCGGACTCTTCCTGACTTTTCTTTCATTCTCCTGGGTGGTTACCAACAGCCAGTGTATGCCGGAGTATGTGGTGTGGTGTGTGCGTGTAGAAAAAAAAATGAAAAATGAAAAATAGGGATTCACTGGCCAGAAAAAGTCACTTCGAACAGCTGTGTGGTGGATACCAGGCTAAAAATAGTGGCGGTCAATTCATCAGCCTTGCAAGTTGTTGAATGGTGTAATCCCAGCACAAGTTGCTATGTCTAACATAGCTGTTCGCTATCATCGCTTCCGCGATGGGCATGTCTGAGGTCTGAGGTGTGTATGTGTGTGTGTGTGTGTGTGTGTGTGTGTCTGTCTGTCGATGTGCATGTGTGTGTGTATGTGTGTGTGTGCTTGTGTGTGCGGGTGGGTGCATATGTGTTCATTGTTTTTACTGTGTTTCCCATCAGAAATCTGAAATGGATCGCGTAGTGGAGAACTTCACACTCTCCTGCGCTGCGTACTGCGTAGCGACGCTTGTCCTGGGCGTGGGTGATCGCCATAACGACAACATCATGATCACGGAATCTGGAGAGGTAAACCACTGCAGTTCTGATTATACTGCCGTTGGCTAGACAGTGACTTATAAACACCATCTGATGTATAGTAGGATATAGCCTCTGATACGTGTGTAAAAACTACCAAAAAGAAAATACACCAGCTTCAGTTGGAGAACTCGGAGCTCCACGAACATCTACCGTGTGGTTGAATGAAATTGTCATTGCTGTAACTCACTTCAAACGAAGTTAAAGTGCCAAGCGGTCATATCAATTGTGTGTTCACTTCTAGCCTCCGTCTTTTCAGTGCGCTAGAGTAAACTTCACCAGTGCTAACCGTACTGTGTGCGTTCTTCCCTGTTGTTTTTATCTACTGCTGTTGTTCCGTAGCTGTTCCACATTGATTTCGGTCACTTCCTGGGCAACTTCAAGGAGAAGCTGAACATCAAACGAGAGACCAGCCCGTTCATTCTGGACACCAGCTTTGTGCACATCATCACCCACGGCGGTACACGGCCAGATGAGATGCAGAAGTACGATACATATAATTATTATATTATAGGATTGGAGAACTGATTGTGTGTGTGTGTGTGGGGGGGGGGGGGGGGAGGGGGCATGAGTACGTATGTAAGTGTATGTTGGGGGGGGGGCATGAGTGTGTTTGTGTGTGGGGGGGGGGGGGGTAGGAGAGGGGGGACGTAGTAGGTCTCAGACCACTACAATTATCTCCCATGGTGGCACACAACCAGATGAGATGCAGTGAGATGAGAGTGTGTGTGTGACGTAGGTCTTAGACCACTACAATCATCAGTGGCACACGGCCAGATAAGATGCAGGACTATGCTACGCGATTGTATCTGATTAGATAACTGTGTGCCCGTTTATCTCAGTTTCCGCAAGCTGATGGAGACGTTGTACTGCATTCTTCATCGCCACGGGAACCTGTTCATCAATCTGTTCGCCATGATGCTGTCAACGGGCATACCAGAGTTGAAGCAGCTGGATGATATCCGCTACTTCAGGGACATGCTGGCCGTCGACAAGAACGAGGACGAGTGTCGCAAGGTTGGTTGTGTTGTAGTACATTATTATGTGTACATGGTGTGTACGTGGTGTGTACGCGGTGTGTACGTGGTGTGTACGTGGTGTGTACGTGGTGTGTACGTGGTGTGTACGTGGTGTGTACGTGGTGTGTACGTGGTGTGTACGTGGTGTGTACGTGGTGTGTACGTGGTGTGTACGTGGTGGTTGTGTATGCACATGGTGTTGTGTAGGGGAAAGCAGTCTTCCTCTTCGGTTCGTCATGCCTGGTTGTGTCTACGAGTAGTTGTGTTTCCGTAGCCTGTAATCTTGTAATGAATGGTCGCAACAGTTACTCCACTCGTTGTGATGTTCTGCTCTTTTGGGATTACCGGACTTTCCCGAGTATAAGCCGCACTTTCAACACTCAATATTCACCCCCAAAAAGGAGGGGGGGGGGGGGCTTATACCCCGATGATCAAAATTATTTACGGTGATAAATAGCGAGGACGTCTATATTTCTTGGCAAAAGAAGGGGGTGAGGGGGGTGGGGGGGGGAGGGGGGGTGGGGCGGGGTGCAGCTTGTACTCTGGAAAATACAGTACTTCTTCATCCGGGGGAGAAAAAAACACGTTGTGCCTTTTCTCACCTTCTGAGCAGTAACCGGTACTATGCTTCATGCATGTAGTTCAGTCGAACAACACACATTGAATACGACGGCACAACACACGTTGAACACGACGGGTGGATATAGTGCTGTGAAGTGAAAATTGCAAAGGAAATTGGCAAAGTTTGAGTCTCACCTTGGCTCGATTCCTCAGATCATAATCTACCAGAACTGCATGACAGATTGTTCGAAGTCACCAAGTGTTTGTTCCCGTAGCAAGCACAGTAAAAG